TCAGCCAACTTTCAGCCTGGTCCTCAAACGACCAGCACGTTTGGGGGCTTCCCTTCCAACCAACTGACCATGTTTGAGCAACCAAGTGTCCGTTTCCAAATAAAATCACACAATGCCATACAATGGCTATAGTTCTGAAACTGGTTGTATTTATTAAAAAGGCTGGCTGTATGTTGTTGCAATATGTTACATAATACGCTACATCAATTGAAACAGCCATCGGGCATCATCTGACCTTCTCCACACTCATCGTCGGCATGGAGCTCGGCTTGGAATGCGGAATTGCCGGCTGCGATGACAAGGAGGTACCCGAAGAAACCGATCATGGCTGACCACAAAGGTCTTGGAAAAACGAACCTTTTAGAGGAAAGCCCCTGTTATCCCCTGTTTGTGTGTGTGCATCACCAAGACTTCAAGCAGCACTTGCAATTTGAAACACATAACTTTCAACAAGAATAAGCTAAGGTCACCTTATTTAGGACTCCATGTCATATGCAGCCCGAGAGCCCTCGGACTGGGTAGTTACCCTGCCCAAAGCTTCAGCGAAGCAAACTTCAACCACATGTTTTGCTAGAATTGTTCACGTAGAATGCCACAGTAGGTCAGGTACTGCCATATTCTTCAAATCAACACACTGCCATATTCATAGTCTCACCTCTTTCTCCAATGCTGTTGCAGGCCGAAATGCTGCAGCGGACATGACAAATGCAGGTTGTGGCCTTAGGGACCCTAAACAAACTCACCCGGTGGTGGTGTGTGAGTCAACACTTGCAACAAGCCAGCACGCAGGTTCCAAAGGAAGGAACGCACGCTATCAACCTATTCGGAATGCCATATTCCTTCCCAGGAAAACTTGAGCAACTCAAAAAATCCATTCAAAACACCTTCTTTTCCTATATAGGCGTCATCTTCCCGGCAACACTTCAATCCTCGGATGGGAACTGAATTCGTCCCGGCTCGGTCCAGCTCGCGCACGTCCAAGACGCTGGAGATGTGGCTCTCTCGCAGCAACGAGATGAGCAACTCAGCTCCGAGGTGTCCACATCCACAGGAGTAGAGAGTGTCGACCTCCTTAGGCGTCCAAGATGTGTCCAAGATGGTTCAAGTGTCAATTGCTCAGGGAGTCGAAAGTTGGGTGCAGTCAGGCTGACTGACCGGCGGCGGTGCGCCAGTGGTGGACCGGTGACCGCTACCAGTACCTGATCAAAGGGCGTCGCTGCCAAGTCTAGATAGGATGGGGTAGAACTCTTCACGTAGCAAATGAGATCACCATGTTTCTTCCTCACCAGGGGTCATCTAGCTTGCATTACCTGGGACCACACGGTTTACAGTGACAATTGAAATGCGGTGGGTTGACATTGCTCCAATGTGTCCTGGCCTGGTTGCTGAGGATAGCACTTGGGCCCACTAGGTGGGAAATTGGCTAGGCTAGGCTAGGATGCCAAAGAAAAGTTTTCACAACTCGCTTCTCACGATTCCTCTTGCCCATTCCTTGCCGAAGCTACTCCAGCAGTGACTGGCTGACTTGGCAGTGTGGCTGGAGCGGCAAAGTACCGGGTCCCTTCTCCTGCAGGAGATAAAGGACAGCATTGCTTTCGGAAGTGGTCACCACCAGGACAAGAACTGCTTTCTTTAACTCTGATATACTGCCATAGCCAATTTGCAGGAAAGACTTTGAGAATGAGACATTCCAGCCTTTTCGGCATGAGCAAACCTTATACCATTGTTCCATGGTTCCAGCTCGGACCTCTCAAGCGGCAGGACCTTAAGAATCCAAGCATAGTGTCTAGGACTGAGAGGCATTGACCAATCCACGAGCGCTCATGACTTCCAGATGTATTGTCCTAGTCTATTCCGGCCCTAAAGGTTCTCAGACAATCACAAGGTTTACATCAAACATGTCTTGAGGAGAATCTCCTCAAAGAAGAAACCTCCAACATGTTCACACGATTCCGTAAATCTCTGGATTGACTCCTGTAGCCTGTCGCCTTTTCTAGCGCTTGGGACTGTCGTTTTGGGGCCTGGAGCTTTCCATCGAGCCCGAGGCGCCGGCCTAAGAGGATCAAACGGAAGACGATCTTCCGATCTCCATTTCGGAGAGTTGGGGTGTACCTCCGGCATATGATTCATATAAATCCTGTATATCTGTATTAATACAGTGAATTTACCATCTATATATATATATAGATTGGTGGTAAAGTCCGTTACCTTGAGACTGGTTCATTCATTACAACCATGAAGATTCGACTGAAATGTTGACTTTCGGAAGACCGGACTTGGTCTGATCGCACCTTTGGACATCCGACCTTCCATCCAACCTTCATACTCGGTCCAGTGTTCAAGGTGAAAGGACAAGCAAGTATGAAGCGAACAACAAGTCTGGGATGACTGGGATGGGAGCATCAATCCTCGAAGGTGAGTTGGTTAAGCAACTCATTACGACCAACTGGTGCCTCATGATGGCCTGCGACCACAACGACTTGACCAACAACGTGATGCATCTCAAACTGGCAAGTTCGGGGTCCGGGGTTCAATGAGTTGCGGAACTTGACCTCAATGAGTTGGAGACGCCGTTGGATACCAATACCTGATGGTCTGTGGTTTTAGCTGCTTGGTGGATTCACGTTGCGCGTCTGCCATTGGACTGAATACGGAAAGCGATACGGGGGATGTCTTGAGCGATTGGGTTTCAATCGCCAAACGCTACGGTCGTAAGAAGGGCATTACTACAAGTAGCAAGAAGCTACTAGGAACCAAGGGCATTGCTACTAGTAACAAGGGCGTCGCTGGACTGCTTGAGGGTGTGTGAAGCATCCCGAGTTTCCATGACTGATGCCCTTGGAGGATCAGCCGCTGCAATAGGATCGACGCCCACGTCATCGTGGGTGGGAAGTAGAGCCATTCTGAAGAGGTAAGGCGGGTGCTGTGGTTGAACAGGGTTCCCAAACGCTTTGTAGTTTGTAGACTTTTGAGTCTTGCAATATATAAGTTATATCGCTATATACATCCATTGTGCATCTTGTGGTGTTACATCTGTTTTCTTTGTTTGAGTGGCCTCTCCATGTTCTTCTCGTCCTGCTTGGATTTAGAAACAATTTCCTTGGAAGTGAACATGTTTTTCCTGATCTCTCTTCATTAAACATGTCCTTTTATTTTCACTGTTGGTAGTTTGTGGATGAAATCTATCCAAACATCAAATCTCAAAACATCTTGGCCGGGTTGAAGTTGAACAGTGTTTCAAAAACCTGTTTCAAAAACAACCTTAAACCCTGTCCGTATGAAGCGACTGTCGGCGCCAATTTCAAACAATTTCAAATCAACACTAGATAAATCAAGACGTTTTGATGGTGCTAGAGAACAACACCGTGCACACATACAAAGCACGTAATTTCATGGGGCTCAAAACTGCTCTCTCCAGTTGTACTTTTCAACATTTACTGATCTAAAACCCACATTCCTCCCTTCCTTCGAACTTCATTCAAGTTTCTTTTGCGCGGGTCGGGCAACAGGCTGTGCGCTTTGCACCGGATACGAGGGCTGAAGACGTTGGAACCAGCTTGGTTCCATGCTCCATGCAGAGTCAAAGCGACATGGGGATGAATCGATGTAAAAACACAAACTTTGCACACTACTGGATTCAGAAATGAGGCTGCTCACGTATTTCTACCAAAAATGCTATCTGCTCTCTGCCCCTTTGCCTTTTCTTTCTGTTATATATTTTCTCGCCTTTTTCTGGCCTGTCACCTTACGAATAGAAATGGCACCAGCTTCAAGCCTCCTGTCCTAGCAACACAAGTTCTATTACTTAGAATCTGATTGCTTGTGGCTTCAAGTCGACAAAATGTCCAGCCAGTGTCTTGATCGAAGAAGCACTGTGGGGCACATAGACAGGCTTTCTATGACAACAACACCAACACGACAATCAGTACCAGTACCAGCAATGGTACCAACAGCACACCACCACACCTTCACATCAGGAACACGTTGATTTGAGACTACGCACACCTACTAACAAGTGGTATTCCCTAGTAGATGAGGGTCCGTGTCAAACATGACGTCCTTTGCCCATTCTTGAGGGTACGGATATCTGCACTAGCTTTGGAATTCTTATACACTAAAGAAAGGGCCACGGCCAACACAGGTGAACCAAAACAACCAGCAAGCAACAGCATTCACTTGGTCCCCAACCAGAAGAGCCGGACGTTTTTTCTAGAGACATGAAGGATGGGCGGGGGAACCCCCTTGATATATTCCGCCGACCCCGTTCTAGTACCGAGAGTGTGAGCGTGAGCGGAACGGGGACGGCGTGCTCCTGAGAATAGTTCGGTATAGGTATAGCTGGGGCTTGTCCACCAACCAGCGCTTTCCGAAGAATTGACAATTTTTTCACAAATTTTGGACATTGGTCATGTTTGAAAAGGAGTGGGGACCGTCAGGTTTTTTTTCGCGGTGCAGGCGGTGTCCAGGCTGGCGTCTCGGGTTCGACTCCCCCCTGCGGACCCATGGTGTGCAAAACGAAGCAACCCCAATCTTGCATAGTGGTCCCGCGCGCGCGCGCCGCCCCCCAGGGGAAGACAGGGCGCCAGGGGGCGCGCGCGGGACCAGGCGGAGCCTAGACCTGCCAACGGTTAAAATTTTCTAATACGACTGGGTTGTTGTATGAGTTTCTGATGCTTCGATGGAAAAAGGTAGTTGTCCGAAACGGTTCAGGTTGAACGGCAGCACAACGCCACGTAGCACCTGCTAAACCCACAACCTGAAAATAGTTGAGGTAAAGCCAGATTCAGGAGAATGTGGCAGGTTCTGGGCTTAGCAGGAGCCGAACCCCCGGGCTCTTTCCTCCGCCCACGGCCGCTCTGGGGTCGGCGGCCGCGGGCGGCAGCCCCTTAAATAAATCCGGCCAGGGGCGCAAGCGCCCCGTCAGGGCCGGGTCCTGCGTAAGGCATTCTCCTTCTGCGAAGCAGAAAGCAAATCCGCCCCCAGGTGGGGGACACAGAAAACTCAGTGTTTTTGACGTCTTTTTTCCGAGCTTGTTGCTCACGATGGGTCAACATAGGCCCAAATAATGCTGGAAATGCGTGCCGCACCGGGGTGCTTCGTGTGCATCGTGGGCTAACATGGGCCCAAGATGGCCCAAGCTAGACGCAAGCTATGCTCAACATAGCCCCAAGACCGCGCAACAAAGGCTCCAGATGGCCTAAGCTAGACCCAAGCTGTGCGCAACATAGGCCCAAGCCCGCCCAACCGCCCAACATCCACTCCCTCAGCCTGCACCCGCACCCAATCTTCCACCCTCCAGACCTCAACGCCCCTGGCCGGCTGTCGGGCGTAAGCCCTTAAATAAATATATATATATATACATATGATGCTATGATGATGATATGTAGTGTAGAAAATCTACGTAAAACAGTATAATTGTTGAAATGTATATGTAATATGAGTGCTTCGGATCCAGTGCCCCTTCCATCCCACTGCATGAAGACGCTGACGTCCTTTTTCACACAACCGACTGTGCTGCCGCCCCTGGCGATTTCACCCGGCGCCGGCCATCAAAGCAAACAACCCGAAAGCTCAGGCGCAGCCGGGAGGTTGCCTGGGAATCCCATCAAGATGGAAACGAGGCTGAAACAAGCAGCATTTTTGAAAAGAAGCAAATGCAGGGTACAAACAGTTTTTTGTTGATTACTTACTATGGCGATTATGGCATTGCACTGGCTGGTCAACGTCTATAGACAGGAGGAGACCCAGCAAACAAAATGAATCAAAGAAGGTGCTGGACAAACCGGCGGACTCTTGTTCGACAAAGAAGGACACCAGGCGAAGATGCGACGCAACAAGAGACTCTTATTTATCGGTTGACCCCATCATGCTTGGGGGCCTCGTGTTTTGGTGAAAAACTTGATTGAGCATGGATTCCTTTCTTGCCATCCCGCAGTTGATGCTGTTGCAAAGGTGCGAGGTGGTTTTGCGGGTGTGATGGCCGTAGCTTGAACTCGTTTTACCAACCAACCAAACATTACACCTTCCAGGGGCCTGAGGGCCCCAGGTCGCAGGAGATGGGAAGCACCCAAACAAGGAGATGGGAAGCCAAGGTTGCTGGATTTGCCGGAATCAATCTATTCCCTTCTAGGCCAAAGTCCCACAAGAATTGGAAACACATGGATTGGGCGCGTCACGGCGCGGCGACATGTTTTTGTTTCCAATTTCAATAGCGATGGCCTCCAACTTAGACTTAATTAATATGACCCATGTTTGCCCATATTGTTTACCTCCCCCCTTCCTTGTGTCTATCAAGCTACTCAGGCTTGAGATAAAGTCCATCACATTTTTACATATTAAACATGGAGATCGTGCAATTCTTTCCAAACGGTAGTGGCATGCGGTAGTGGCCGTTCCAAATACCTGCAAATATATATATATATATTACATACATACACATATATTTGTATACTGTATACTTACCAGATTGCTTCATTCGATACAGGGTAGAGGAAGAAATCAAAGGAGACAAGTCTCGTGTAAAGTCTAAAGCTGGGTCAATATCGTGATGTTCTGGCATGCCCCAGTTACATAAAGCTAAAATTTTGCGGCACTGGAACAGCCCTACGTGTTTTGCCCAAGGGCAAGGACCGTTGGTTGCCAGAGGCTATAGGCAGTGTCAGTATTCTTGGTTTTCAAACACTACAGCTCCGGGATTTTGTTCAAGCGCGGGGAGCACAGCACACTCTGTGGCTTCTATCATACTCCATGAGTCTAGGAGAAAGCATGTCACAACCTATGAGCAAAATTTGATAAAAATTGTTCCATCCTGTTAGGAAGGACTCAAGGACTGCAGGTGTTTCGTTGATATCTTTGACCAATTTCCAAGATCTCTTTGACCATCTCATCGTCATGTCGAAAAAACCGGCTCGGAACCCGAGCAAGGTCCCACAGAGTCAAATGAACAAAAGCCAAAATTTTCTCAATTTTCCCTGCACAGAACAGGTTGATGTTTTATTCATCTGTTCATATCTGTTCACTGTTTGTGGCAGAATCCGTCTCGAAAGAACATGGTGTCAGTTTTAGTCACTGGGGCTTCATCACATGAATCGGACGTCGACATGGAAGATGGTCAAAGGTATTCCAAGGTGCTCTTGTCAGACTTTGACATTTGCCCATTCTCGACCTGCAACTGATCCAGGCTGTCAGGGCGTCTTGAAACCCTGAGGAGCAGAAAAGAACAATAGCTTGCCCATGTGTGGAGGGGTGATGTTGGAATAATATTAATTACACGCGCCGCAACATTGTCAAGATGCATGAAGGCTTCAGCTTGTCTCCTAACTAAGTCTTGAAAGAATTGGATGGTTTTATCACCTGGTCCCAAAAGCCAGCTCCAGCTTTGTAGAGCTCCCGGGAAGCCAAGTATCACAACTTCTAGTCAACCAAATGTGACCGGCATCGAATAAACACATGATGATTCTGCTGGTCAGATCTGAACCCTGCCACTACAAACAAAACATAACAAGTTTCTCTGCCTTCCAACCTGATGCCTCTGTGGATCTCTACTGCACCGAGTTCTTCGTGCTCGTGAACGCGAGAGGTCGCTGTCGCAGTCGCCGATCTCTTTTAGACCAAGGAGGAACAGTGCTATTTACTGATGGACCAAATCCTGCACCACATGGCTCACGATCGGTATTGTACTTAGCAGGGCTTTGGGTCCAAATACCTCTGATGATACACTTATATAATTGTAGTGACAGGTGTTGCCCAAAGAGGTATCATCCATGTGCTAGATTTGATCCACGGTATGATCGCCACTCATTGGTGGCCACATTCCACGGATCGCCAGCAGTTGCGGGAAGGGCCAAGGATCATCAAGTCCTCTCCCCAGGCAACGGGTCAAAATGCATTGGTCAAAGGCGGACCAAAACCGTCGATGTCCCAATTGAGAGCTAACAATACATGCGTCCTATCATGCTTTGTCATGCTTAATGAGATGAAAGCTGAGGTGTGCTGAGGTGTTGTTCTGGAGGGCTGAATCATCCATGTCTTTCAATGCCTTTTATGCCTCCAAAGTTTTGGCGGCATAACATCCCGTTCACATTGGAGGATCTATCTCTACGGAACGCGCAACCCTGCATTTCTCCAGCTTTGCTTTGAAAATACAAATTGAATCCATACAAAGCCTATCTAAGGTCCGTCAATGCAAACCAATTCATGAACTTCTTGACCATCTTCAAGGGGAAGAATTGCCACAGAGCCAGGACGTTCTCCACGCTTGTAGGCAAAGAGGAGCATGGCTGCTGGGAGCACCACAGCAAGGAGAGCAACACCAGCTGCCAAGCTGGTCCATTGCCGCGAGATCAACCTCCAGTCTTCCGACTAATGTTTTTCGTCAGTGAGTTTCCAGCAGTTCTTGTTCGTGTTTGAATATGTCTCCTCGTCGTTTCCCACATGTTTGCCCAAGAACGTTGCGAAGCTGAAGCTCTGATGGATGGTGTCAAAAAGATTTGCTCGTGGAACTGCAAAAACCACGACATTGACTTGCGGCTTCGAACTATGCCAATAATTCTCTGTGAACACCGCGAGTGCTCACCATCTTTGCATCACTGATCTACACCCAACAAGATGCAGTCCGCAATAATTACATCCAAAACGATCCAAAACAACGCATGGAGCTTGAAATGAAACCCTCAGCTGCAAACTAAGTCCGAAAGCCAAGGCCAGGGGGGGAACGCCATGTTCTTTTTTGGATCACCAAGCCGAGCCGCACAGGTGTCTCCTCAAAGAGTTTCAGCCGCGCTTGGATCTCTGCCGGGATCTTCTTGGGAAAGGCTTTGTTGCACGTGGTAGAAGTTGATTGGAACGGGTCAGCCTCGATGCAAGTGGTACTTGTTTTTTGTGCTGAAGTTCGCAATGAACATCTCTTGCTAAAACATAGACGGATTTTGGATGTTTCTCTCTCCAAAAACACTCCAATTCACTGACATGGAAGTGGATATGGCCCCTGGGAAGACTATGACTATTGTCCTCTACAGCAAGGTGCTTGTGCACCTGCCCGTTAGCGAGTCTAAGGGTATACAGCATTACAGTCTACGATACACTCCGAACGGCTCAGCTGTTAACTCCTTGACAACCAAATAGATCAATCGAGCGAATCGAGGACGCATCATAGAAGCACAGGTGGTCAAGTGCAAAAACAAAATCCGATAATTTCAACTTGTTAAGGCATCATCTTGATCGATCATTTTTCAGCACTCTTGTTCATGCCAATGTGCATCTGTGTTGCGGGCCTCCGCGAACCCACTAAAAAAGAACTTGCCGAGAAGATCGAGTTCAAAAGAAGATAAGTATTCCTTTTTGCTGCGTTCTTCCCTGCAACACCATTCAACACCGTGGCTACAAGGCCAGTTTTGCCTTTGTTGCACAGGGCAATTGTCCGATTCGCCTTTGTGAGTTGGAGTTCACACAGAACACACGCGTCATCACGAGAACGCTGTCCAACGATTTGCCGTTTCTGGGCGTGGCCGGTTGGCAATAGCCAGCAACAGTCTTGAGTCTTGAGTTTCTTTAGTGAGCTGCCAAATTTGGCCCGCATAATCTGAACTCTTCTGGACCTGTTTTTGTTCTGTGTGATTGGATTTGAACAAGCAAACAAACGTAACATAACTAACAAAACTCGTTCCCAAACAGTTCGAGTATCTTCAAGCTGATCTTTACCAGCTAGAATCTTCCATCCCGAGTGCAAAAGTCCCGCCTGCGCCAACCCATTGGCCACTTGGCTGTCGAGTGCTTGAAACTTGGCCACGAAAGGAGCCAAACCCTGAGCTCAGGGTTGCATGATGCTGCATGTATGTTTGATTCGTTGCCAACGCTAAACGTACGTGGCCTTTGCGGTGTAAATCAGAGTCATATGTCCACTTCTTGCTTGGTTCGTACAAACTCCAGGCACTGCAAAAAACACGTGGGCCTTGCCTGAGTTTCCTTCAGCTTACCTCAGCTCAGGACGGCAGTGTCTGAAGAGTGGGTGCGTTCAAATAGTTGCACAGTATAAACCACATACTGACCGCTACAAACATCTGAGCAAGGAAACACTAATGGGCAGCGTTCATGGTTTGTGACTGGAACAGATGGACATCTCCATGAAGCCTGACCGCTGTTGTTTGGATGAAGAACAATGCCCGACCGGGGGGACCCTATGTAACGAATCTAAGCTGGGGCCTTGCTTTTTGGTTGTCAAGATTGACAAATGGGAGGGTGCATGCATGAGCATATCGATGACATATATATATATATATACTGATGAGGCAGCGGCAGTCGGCTGTCAACACTTGAAAACGGAAAGCTCTCACAGGGGATGCAGTTGCCACACTGGAGAGACACGAACAAACCACTTTAAATATTTGGTATACTTCAATATTGGAAGCACACCAACATTGAACATCCAAAACCGAGTGATTAAGTGGATGTGGGTGTCTGTGGTTCTAAGCTTAGCACTGAGAACTCAAGAACCTGTTTCCGTCCACGATGTACTTCCCAAAAACAAAAATTATGAAAAAATCACTAGACAGATTCAGGTTGCCCAGGTCCGTCGACATAAGCTGGGTCGACAACTTCGCTTGCCAGGTCTTTAATTGCTGTTGACCCATCTTCAAGCCATTCACCACGACCACCAGCTCATTGTAAGTTTGGCAAATCTCCTGGAACTCAAACATCTGTAATGCAGCTAGCTGGCAAAGGCTGTACTAGCACACCTGGAACATGACCGGTTATATGTGAGGCTCTTGCTGTTTCCACAAAAACAATAAACACATGCTAGGCCAAATTATGGAACCTGAGAAGGAGGGGTCAAAAGCCAGCAAGAGAGTGCCTGCCCACTACGATGACTTTTTTGCAGCGAGCTGCCGCCGGATCAAACTTCTTGAGTCATGAATGGCCCCCGATTCACCATCACACTTCGTCAACTACTTCACACACGTCTGCTTTTTAGATCGTGCTGATTCTTGAAATCTGCTCCAACTGCCAGTCTGCATGGTCAAAAATGCCTTCTTGTTTTGCTGCAGCAAAGAGACTCCAAGCAACAAAAGGTTTGGTGCACAAGTCGTACTCACGTCCGACAATCGTGGCATCTAATTGTAGCAAACCTGCAGCTTTCCACACGCGCCGCTGGCATTGACACCACTGTGCCACCTACACCTGCGTAGCCGAGCATATATATATATATATAAAGCTCCTGCCTGCAGTGGTGAAATATAGGCCTGAGATGCGTGGAGGGGTCTTTGTCCTAATTAGCTCTCAAGCACCATTCCATACCTGGACGCTTCAGATTCTACATTGCTGACCTCCAAACAGGATAGATATAGGCCAGAAAAGAGGGTACATCCCTGCTTTCCTTGTAGCGCGCTTACCGTCTCCACCCTACATGGGCCTTCCTTCGCAGAAGTCGCGAGGGTCTGAAAAGCCACAGGAGGAATCAAGCCAACTAACAAGCGAAGTTGTTTTCCTTCCTCGCTATTTGGGTTGTATCATTTTGTTTGCGCTGACTTCCTTTAGAAACTTCAGCCAACTCCTGACTGGAGAAATGAAATTGTTCGCATGCTGGCGTCTTCAGCCATCAAGGCGCTTCCCGCGAAGGAAACCAAAGAAGAAACGGCACGGAGAACCCGCCGTAGTGCGGGGCCGCCGGGTGGGCGGCAACTAAGGTCGTGTCGCGTGCGCCCCCTAGCCTCCCTGCCCAGCCACGCGGTGGAAGGGGCAGCTCAGCGAACGAGAGTTACCTGCCGAGTTCAAAACCGTGATATGTTCTGACAACCTTGAGACCTTTCACAGTCTTTTGTTTCCTTTGTTTTTCCACTTCTACCTCTTCTTTAAGTCTGCGCTTCTGTCCTTCCGACAATTGACCGTTTCAAAAATATGCACGGACTGCGGTCAGCTAGCGATCGTGAGCGACGTCACGCCTCGACCGTTTTGGTGACGCGGTTGCCTCCATAGCACTCCACGGCACGAAACACAAACAAATGACGTGCCGTGGTGGCAAATGCTGCAGATAGATATACCCGTCTTCTAGCTGCAACTTTTTCCATTCCAACTAGGTCACCTTTAACAAGCTTTCTGTAGCCTGTGTTCTTTTGCGCCGCAGGCCGGTTGGGTCTAGATTCTACGATTAGTGTTTTCCGCGCTGCAGTCTGTCAGCATTTGGGGTCACTGACCCTCGTCCGATGGCCATTTCTTGGCCATCCTTTCAATCCTTTCCCAACCGCTCCCAGCGTTCCAACTTTATCTTTTCTAGATTTACATCAAACTTCGTTTTCTACTACCATGCAGCTAGGCAACATGCACTTGCTCTGCCCTACAGACCGCAGCGCCAAGGTAACTGAAGCGGCCGAGAAGCTGAGCCCTGGGGCGCTATAGCTCTGGCCTTTCAAGAGATCATACTTTCACTTGTCCAGCGCACGTTTCTCAGGCTTCTTTTGGCACCCAGGTTGAGGTGCCAATTTCCCGTCGTGGTCGGCTCAATTTCATGGACACTTGCCATGGCATCACCTGCCATTTCTGTGTGCAGTTTTCCTCTGCCACAGTGGTCACACCGGCCAGGTTCTCAGAGCCCGAACTGAAGTGGCCGGGAAGTGCGAACTTTGGCTTTGAGATCACACCGTTCGCCTGCCATGCAAGCGGGCAGTTTAAAGATGCACTTTACTCTTTCAGCTGATGCTTCTGGCCCCCCTTTTGGCACTGAGGTTGGGGTGCCAACTTCGAATCGTCCTTGGCTCGATTGGGCGGCCACATGGTGTAACCATTCCCTTTGTCTAGTTCGCTTTTTCTCCGCAGCTACACGACTCCAACTCCATCAAGGCGGAGAAGACGTTTGTCCAAGGGAATTCTAGGATGTCCTACACGAAGTCTTTGGTTCCCATTTCCTTTGACTCCAAGGGGTGGAGCCATACATGGAAGCTGATACACTGTGCTTAGGTGGATCACTGCTCCACAGGATGCTGTGTTTGCGTCACATACCCGGGACTTTGGAACTGGCGCTCCATACAACTTGGTGATGCAAGTGCTACAGCAAGCTTGCATCTTCTGCATCACCAACCACCTAAAGGTAGTCTCCACCAAAAACCATCAACCCCACCAAGTCAGTTGTGGGCTCTCAATTTGTTCGCAGAAATAACTTCAGCCTAGCCTGTCGGCTGGCTTTCGTAATGTGAGTTACTTGTGCTTTTCTTTTCATTGAGCATCATCATGGCGGAACTTATCATGGTGGCCTTCTCATCCAGTATCATCATGGAACTGTGCAATCCCGTCCTTCTTTTTCTCAAACGCCTCATCCATCACTTTTTTGACCTGCAACTGGCATGAGGTTTCTTCTGCTGCTTTCAGCTAACGCTTTCTCTGGCCATGTTCGGATGACGGTGTTACATGGTGTTACCACACCTTACATCTGGATACAGTACATGCTCTGTTGAACCAATGCTTAAGCTTTTTCATCGGCAAATCTGGATGTGAACTAGTTGCTTCTGGCAAGGGAGTAATTTTATGACCGTCCTTGTGTGAAAGTCAGCCGCTATGCAACAGCTCTTACCCGCGAGCCTTTTTCTTCGGCTCGGCCATTTCGTTCGGTCTCCCTGATCTGCTTCGATGGCTGTAGCGGCTGCTTTTTTGTGGGAGAAAAACCAATCACCTCTTTAATCTCTTTACAATCCTTAAATCCCTATATCATCCACCAGCTAAAAAGAGTTAAATCCACTTTAAGGACTATCCCCGGCCCAGCTCGGGATAATAGCAGCCCGGGCCTCCTCTTTTCCATTGTCCTTGGTGATGGCCTGCTGGAAGAGGCATCAGGCGACTGAGACAACTCTTGCTACCCGACACCTCGGTTCACTTTCCTACACCACTCGCCCCACATAAAGCTCGTGAATCCGGTAGGCAGGGATGTTTTATGGACCCTAACAAATGGGTTCCGGGGGTAGCACCAATCGCCATGTGTCCCTTTGAGCCCAACCATCTGGATTCTTGACCGTACCGACTCCCACATGGAAACACACATCACAAGCAGTACCGACTCCCAATAGTACGGACGACTCAGCTAGTTTGCTAAAGCCAAATTTCTACCAGATTTTAGCTTTTGGCAAACGATCCTCAGCACAAGAAATTTCCACCTGCACAACCCAACCCAACCCAACCGAACCGAACCGAACCCAACCCAAAACCGAACCAAACCGAAACCGAACCAAACCGAAAGCGAAACCGAACCAAACCAAACCACACAAACAGACCAACCAAATAAACAACAGAACAAGCAGGACTCAACGGACTGCATCGGCGTTGTCATGCTTCGGGCTGCACAAATCCTTCGAATTGTCTATGACGTCAGTTGCTCTTGCCTTTTTGGACATTGCCGCATCGACCAAATGAGCGGCGCAGAGCGGCAGGAAATACCCACCGGTTTGAAATACACACCGGTTTACTTCAACGGGATTCTAACCGTTCCAAACATTCTACACAATATGTCAATCTGTTCTTCAGAACACTCATGACTCCTGGTGCCGCATTTGGTTCAGCCAGCAACGACTTTCATGCACACTCGGACGGCATCGGATCGATGTTGTGGGCCATTCCCACCTGTTCCATGGCCGTGGGGTACCATGCGGGGAATGACGACGTCAGGGTGCTGAGCTTCATGACCAGTGTGGTGACCTGAAGCTGCATGGAGGCGCTGCGCGGGGCGCGGGTGACCAGGTGACCGGATAAGCGTGTGGCGTGTGGATGTGTTGAGTGAGGAGTGCAGAAACGGTATCTATGAACACTGATCGTTTTGTATGGCCCAAAATGTCAGATCCAATTCTCCTTGGAGGTTTTGGGGGGACCATGGTGAGAACAATCAAGTAGTTGCCCCACAAAACTGAATCCAATATTACCGCTTATGTCCAATGAGGACATGCGCCTTTATTGGTCTCAACATGATGTTCCCATTCTCGTTGTGCAAAAGTTCTGTCTGACTATCTTCCAGGCGGTCGTCTATTCGAACCTGTGGGAAGAATCAATTTAAAACCGATGTACAACACATTCAATAAGTCAAAGCACTGTGGACCATGCGATGTCGCAAATTCTGTATATATTTCTTAATGATTGTCCCAGCACAAAAAAATCATTGGACGAACTCGTTCGTCGGTGCGGCCGGCCTCTGGAGGGGGAAAAAAAATCGGTCACGACTTCCGCCTCTGGAGGGGAAGTTCCCTCCATCCTTTTTGGATGAAAAATCCTGAAACCACAAATCCGATGACCATTTGTCCGATGTCCGATACCGCATGTGTAGTGGTCGGTTTAGGTTTGAGATGGTTTAGTGGTCGAACGACCGATGCCACTGACGACGGTGACGATGGTGGCGGTTACACCTGCTTTCTACCCTTGGGTTCTTGATGGGCCTTGATGGTCCTTGGGTCCCGTCATCTTGGAGCCTTGTAAAAAGCTTTGTTGGTGACCAGGTTCCATTTGGTAGAGAGAAAGCCAATACATCCAAGAACCTCTGATATTTTTAAACACAACCGGCAGCCTCGAGTTGAGCGCACCGGAAGGATTCAAAAGCAAAGCCTCCTCCAGACCCACTAAAACCACCTGATCCCTCCTGCTCTGTGGCCAGTTGCGTTGGCCAAGGACTTCTCCGGGTGAATCGTTTCAAAAAGATCCTGGCACTTGTCAAATACCTTGTGCCGCAGCACATTGCAGTACAACTTGAAGCCTCTGCAAACAAAACATACTCTAGATGACTCTGTAGCCCAGGCTGTTCATTTTAGACGCTACTTTAGCAAAGAGGGTCAAATTCAACTTATGTTGATTTCTGCGAAGCTGTTGTTCTAAGGTGCCGAGCTAGAAATCCGTCTCGAATTCTCCGCTCGTTTAGGATTTGGCCCAAGCTGGGGTCACCTCAAATCTCCAGTCTCCGATAGCCAGAGTGTCTGGTCTTCCCATGAATGTCGAAAACCAAAACAAAGAAAAACAATGACAAACGCACATTCCCTACTTGCCCAGACTGATCCAGTAGAACTGGTTTCTGAAAACCTCATGTTCGTGGTGTTTTTGTGTGATCTGTCTTCCAGTATTTCATTCTGGTCTTCCAGTATTTTATGTCAAAAGCACACACACAAAACACACATTCAGAATGGCTTTCGCCAGTTGGCTCCTGGAGCGCCTTGGGCGTCAACTTGGTGTCCTCCTTCGTGTCCTCCGCCACGCTGCTCATCGTCAGCAGCGCCAGCGTCAGCAGCGCCAGCGGAGGAATCGCGAGTCGCGCCATGTTGGCTACTCGGTGGAGAGGACGGTTTCGCCGGGAGGGCTGGATTCACCGCAAGCTGAGAACGAAACAGCGAGTGGCAGTGGCAGGTGGTTGATCGGGCAGATTCAACGAGATTCAGACGTGGACAAAAATACTATTTAATCTATTAAATTTAGCTGATTAACCCGATGATTGCAAAAGAACATGCCCAGCACTGGCCCACACCCGCTCACACCGCGCAATCCTTCCTTAATAAAATACGATTCCCCAATGACTGCCAACAAATCTAGTCAATGTAGTCTGTGGTGGACTGCTCAAAACGACCAGCCCTTCATTTTCTTGATATCGTAACGCTCACAAGAAGTTGTGCTCACCCTTCATATGCCTGCTTCCTGACCCATTCCATGTTTGACCGGCTTCTTCCTTGGTCGACGCAGTCGACTTTCGCCGTGGCCTGCGCCAGTTGATGTTCCATGAATTGCCTCGCGAAGCGAAGGTAGTTGGAAGGAGCGAAGGTGGTTGTGCGGAGGTCGTGGAGGTTCGTCCTCCGAACACGGTGTGCAACGATGGTTCGGTCCCAGGGTCTTCCGTTTTTGGTGCTTTTTTGGTGGATTAAAGCTAAGTAACTGGCAGCAGTGTAGTCATACACAAAATTCCTGTGCTTTAGTCGGACCTCTTCCTCAGTTTTGTCTCCCTCCTTTCTGCCATCTTCTCGCATCACAGCAAAGTGCACCAAACGTGTTCTTCAGTCTTCTGTACGAAACTGCTCAGTAACGTCAATTCTCTCAGAACTCCTTGGTTGAAGCTTGGGAGTCATCCGCTGCGGAAAGCCAGTCTCATCCAAACAAACAATCACGGGCATCCAAGGGCATGTTGTGCCTCGTTTACCTCTGGAAGTCCTCACAGAATCTTCTAGTGAGCCTAGTCTAGAACGAACACAATCCCAGTCCCGGGGACTCGGCCACGCAAAATCCCTATCTATCTATATAATATATATATATATATTTGGGGCCACGCAGTCTTGTTGGCATCCGAAGTTTGCAAAGCACACGTGTCCGGCACGACACGTCTGGCACGACACGTCACCTGCCTTTGCAAGTCCAACAACTGCTTGAACTGCTCCACAACACTATCGCCTGAGACTGAGACGGCATCGGAAGAAGTGCTTGCAATGTTGTCAAATACCACCTTGCAATGTTGTCAAATACAGTGCTAGATGGGTACCTAGGTGATACTACCCCTGAAATAGTAAAAGTACTATTTTGAGGTTGTTTGCCTACCTTGGCACATAGTTATTTTGCAAGTCTATACATGTTCGAAATAATTCTGGTTCTGGAAATTATACTTATTTGGGAAGAACCTTTGGGGTAGGGTAGGGAGACTTGGATGCTGACAAAATGCAAGGGAAGCCAAAAGCTCCCCAACCTGTGAAATACTTTCACAAAGCATTGGCGCAGCAAAATGATGGACAACGCACCTTTTCTAGCAAGAATTGAAGCCGTTCCAAGGCACAAGCTTGCCGAATGCAAAACAAATGTCCTCTATACTGACGAACAAGTACTTAAAACTGCAATAATTATTTCGTGGGTACCCCCCATGCACGGTATATATCAGTTAATTCTGCACAGCTCATTCCAAAGCCTCTGCCAAAATATTTGGTGGCACCCCGCACCTGCAGTTGCATGTTGTCAAACAACATAAATTACTGCCACACCCACATGGGGTACCTACCCCCCAAATGAATCAATTAACCTGAAAGTACTTCGAACAACACATATTTTAGGTATGTAACCCTACCCTTGAAATAGTTTGCTAAGGTTGAGGGTATGTTGTCAATAGATATATATATATATATACAAGACATGCCATTTACACACTTACATCGAACATACATCTAATAGCTTATGATTATGCATAACTAACTATTCAAATGTGGTCGAGGAATCCTCACACATGGAAACTGGAGCCCACATACTGAAGCATAAAGTCACCTTCCATTTGTACTTGACTGGATACATTTCAAGTCGCACGGACTCCAAACAGTTTAGTGCGATCTTGGCGACACCGCGCAAAGTTGGTTTGGTTGGTTTAATTGGCATGAATCTCTCCAAACCTCCCCCTAAGATTCAAACCCAGTAACAGGTCTCCAGGAACGGGTCTCCAGGAACAAACATGACAGTTTGCAGAGTTGGCAAGGGTTTGTTTTCTGCATGTTAAATAAACACTGATCAACAACCAAGGAATGACGAAACGTCGTCACGCCCTCCGAACCAAGCACCTCCGACTCCGACCAACTGAGTCGCAGGCTGACTGAAGTGGATGGGGGGCGCCTGGCCGTCTGCCGCGCCCGCCGGGCCGCCCCCAACTGCCGGGCCGCCTGCCTGGCAGCCTCCTCCGCTTCGGTCGCCCGAGGCCTGGTGTGGTGCGGCGACAGGTCGCCCAAGCTACTAGCGAAGGCCTGACGAATGGTGAATCCTACAGATTTGAGGCATCCCGGGCACAACCTGTGACGGGACAGGAATGAGGATTCCGTGTCCTGGAAACCTTTGGAGGCCGCGCCGCACGGAAACAGCTCCTCTCAGGTGAAGCCTCGAAGCATGGCTTAACAACCTCAGAGGCTTTTTCGTTGTACTAGCTACTGGTAGAATGAAATATCATGAAATATGAACCATACCAAGCCGGGCCCCACCTACTCAATTGTTTGTGGGGTCTTTTTTTCTTGTTAAGATGAACATGAGACAAATCGCGCCACCTACTGAAAAACAGTGGCCGTAACGAGCCCTGGGGCCCTGTGTCCTTATCTAGGTGTAGGTTCACAGGTAGATCATTGCCGTGCCGAACGACCAACGCGATCAAATGACCACCCGGCCAATCAAACAGTGGTTGAGTGGACTGGGTTGACATTGGCCCTCATCATCTGATTTAAACAATTACCAAAAACATATGTTCAATGTACGAGTACAAACGTATGGCTCTGAGTCCTTAGAGGCCCAACATCGATTGAACGTCTGCATGACCATTCGAAGGTTCTCCCCCATCTCTCTGTCTGTCCTTATGGACACTTCACTCCCCGGTCTTTCGTTTTCGTGTCCAACGCCACGCCTGTCTAACCACCTCACACGGATCTTCATATGGTACTTTTCGTAGACCGGGTCGTGAATGATGTGGTACCTCCAATCAGCCAGTGTCGACCCTTTTTCAAGTCCCTTATTTGTCCCTCTCTAGGTTCCTCTGTTCTTGTTACACCAGAACACCCTTCGAGGAAGCAAACACAAAAAGAAACGGATGGGCAAGGATCCAAACCCCAAACCCCAATGTCTCTAATGACATGGCCGCATGGCTTCACAATACTGCAAATTGTTGGGACAATTCTGCAACAAGAAAGGCTCAAAAAAATATTGCCGCAAAACAACAACACGTTTGGTTGACTGAACTGTGAACGCGAACCCCTTTTTTCCCATTCCTGGGCTTGCTGGACTGGAGGAATCTCTGACACCACTGTAGCAAATGTTGTTTGCCACTGCATCACTGCATCTCACACTTCTACAAACAAACCGGTGTAGGGGTGTTAGGGTGTTCGGCGTTCGCACTACTGTACCGGACCAAATCCAATGAACCACTAAGAAGGGACCTGAGATGTAACGTTCTGTGCATGCCAATGAGGATGTTCTGATCACAGTGTCCTGATGGATGTGTCAGTTTCCCTCTTTGCGTGTGAATCTCGTGCGTGGTTTCAACCACCAGAAAAACTCATTAACCAATCTTCCAGCAGTTGTGGCAATTCTGTCTACACATATATGATGATATATTTCGAAACTGCTTCTCTGCCATAACCGTTGCCACCTACGGTGCCTACGGCAACACACTGAGGATCCCGCTGACGGCTCTGCTTGCTCCATTCACGTCCGTTCCACCACCTCAATCGCTGACGGCTCTGTGTTTTCGACGGATCGGCGTCCTCAAAGGTTTTTCCGGTACAAACAAGGAAGGGATTGTATGTTTAGATCATCTACATTTACAAGCCAGTCACAAACTTGGTTAAACCTGGGACGTCTTGCACGTGTCGTGCATGTGCTTGCCCCATAATTCATATGATTCAATGGGTTCTCAAACTCGAAGTTCCCGCAGCCAATCAGCCAATTTGGCTGTGCCTCCTTCAATCTACGGCTTCACATGAACACATCCAACATGTCCATTGTTCCCCCGGTCAAATCTCAGTGATTGACTACTTTCAGCCTTGGCTTTGCGTAGATGGATGCTTACTACTTACACAAGACTAAGAAATGATCTAGATGGATGCAACAACAACATGGACAAAATGTGGGTGTGAGACGGGTGACAAATTGGGCCCGCATTACTGTATGCTTTTCTCTTGGATCCCTATGTTCTGAGCCGCCCATGCCAGGTGTTGTCCTACTTTAGAAACTTCCCCCAAGGTTTAGTTACCTCAAAATCTTATGCTACTGCGGCAAAACATCACGATACCATCCATATGTATCTATGTATATTATATATATACATATACTGTATATACTGTATGCAAGTGCTGCAAGTGCCGAATGGAGAAGGGCCTTTCATATCCAGGACATTTGAGAGTTTGTCCAGGAACATGATGAGGACCGACTACATGAGACTTTTGTGTGTCAATCCTTACTTGTAGACAAACTAGGCCTGGGCGACTTTTTCCAACTCCTAAGTGTGTTCTGAGCGTAGACATTGTTGTTTGAAGGTCTACATCAACTTTTCGCTAGGGATACAACTTACGGGAAGTGTAGAATATATATTGTAAATCTATAAGTATGTATGCATACATACATACCAAACCAAACCATCTTCCAAGCTTCCAACACACAAATGGTTCCCGAGACCCAGGTGTTCGTGAGCTCGGCCAAGACCCGTTCGCCCGTGTTCGTCGCCGGGGCCCGGGCTCCACTTGTTCAAAGCCTAAGGCTTCCACTCGAGAAGCAAAGGAACGCGCTACCTGACCGGGGAGCAAGAAAAACATAGAAAATCCTGCGTCAAGCTAAATAACGTTTAAGTCATCATCATCCCACACAGGTTTAAGCCATGGTTTCACTGCAAACATGATAAAAGTATATAAAAGTGCTTCCGTGGTTAAATGACTCTGGAGGATTAGTATAGGGATGGTCATCCACCCTCGATGCGCCTTTCGATTAGAAGGGCAAGATTCGAGCTGTGGGTCTGCAAAAAGCAGTGGATGAATGCACCAGCAAGACATACTTTAGCTAGCGCAGCTAGCTATCCACACCCAACCAGGCTTGTCCCACTATGAACGTCATTGAACGTCTAGATTTTGTGTCATTCTCTGTTGTCTGCTGTCGTTTATTGTCCTGGTGTGTTGTCAAGTATTATGATGATTGTGGTCATGGGTGGTGTTGTCACTATGTTTGGGATTGTCTGTGCTTCTGTAGTGTCAAAAGTGTGTGGCGTTTTGAGGTGGCGTTGTTGTGTGTGTGTCTAGTAGCAAATAGCTACTAGTAGCAAGGTGCATCGCTACTAGTACCTATAGTAGCAAGGACACTACTACTAGCTAGGGTGCCTTACTAGTAGCAATGCACTTGTCACTAGTTGTGTCTACCTTGTCTACCTTGTCTACCGCCCTTCGTGGTGTCGTCGTCATGAGTCAAGTTGTTCTTAGCTGTTGGCATGATGTGAGTCGATGTTTGTTGTCTGCTCTGCTGTCGGGCCGCCGTCCTGAAGCTCGGACAATGGGATCAGGCCGGGATCACGGTGGCACAATTGCGCTGGCGGGTGAAGCGCGGGTGGACAGTCAAGGTGTTGTCTTCTTGTCTCCTGACGTGTTCTTTGTGTTTGGTGTTCTGATTGTGTTTTTGTCAGTGTGATAATTTGTCGTCTGTTCTCTTGATTGTTACTTTTGTTAATTGCCGGCCAGGTGCTGGCTGAAGCGCTTCTGCTTGTATGAATTGTCTCCTCTAAAATCTGAGCTACAGGCAGGTGGGGAGAAACAAGGTATCTGGGCTGAGAAACAACAGCAGCAACTGCAAGAGCAAGAATAAAACAGCATACATTCAGAACACAGCAAACAACACACGACGCCAACGCGCGCGATAAATACATCATATTACACCATAACCTCAAGTGCACAGTCTATTAATGACGCATGTTGAATCGGACTTTGGGGTCTGCAACTTTTTTTGCTGGACTTCTCCTGGCATATAGATGTGGGGAGATAGAGATCCATCATTTCGAGTCTTGCAACAAAGAAAACATGTCCCTCTTTCCGTCCCGGGTCTTCCGGTCTTTCCTCTTTCATCCTCCTCCTTTCCCGGAGCAGAAAGTAAACGCCACGATCGAAGGAACGCCTGATGCATAAAGGAACGGCTGTTCGAAGGGAGCTGCATGTCCTGGATCCGAAAGCGACCATGCCATGCAGTGCGGCGTCATGCAGCAAAGGCTTTGAGTTGTCATGGGATGGGACGCAGACTGCTTCTTGTATCGTCTTGGGTACTTAAATGCTCATCCTGTGGTGTGTTGTGGTTCAAAGTAGTTCATTCGGGATTGGGTTACTACCGCGCACACTGTCATGACTTACCAACGTGGGATGCATTCTGAAAACATGCTCAAGGAACTGGCCTCTCCTTCCTCAACGAGTGAGTCGGTGCGCTGAGTGAGTTGATGTTGCCTCTTGAGTGTTCCATTTCATTCAAGAAAAATACCTAGAACAGCCTAGGACCTTGGTACCGTCGAACCCACCTGAGAAAGTAACAACATATTCTGACACCGAAGGGGCAGGCTATGAGAACGGCAGCTCAGACTGCCAAAATGTAGGTGTACTCAGTGTACTGCAGTTCCTGTACTGCAGGAATAGGGCTGTTTGAACACCATGTCAAAGGGCCCTCAAAACTCTGTCCCATACCCCAGTTTTAGGCCCCAAGGCGGCGGCACCAGAAATTGATGCAGGATCGTGGGTCGCAGTTATGTCGCAGTTCTTCCAGCGCCCCTTGATACCATCCTTAACTGCCTACCTTCCCTTCGCTCCCTCCGTTCCCGTCGCAGATTCGCCCAGGGCCCCCGGTCCCAAGTGTAGCTGCTTTGGCCCTTGGACGCCTGAAACTCACCGTGTTTGGAGATCGCTCTTTCCACCGGAGCGACTGAAGATGACATCGGGACATCGCGGAACGCCCCTGACCGCCTTGAACGGTCCGCCGCGGCGGAATGACGACAGGGATTCATTGGATCGATTCGGAACTCAGAAAAGGAGCTCCTGGAGTTAACTTGGATCCTAAGCCCGATCTACTACCCATTCTTCTGGCTGAACATGGCAAAAAAAACAACGAAGCGGCAACGTCCCTCACCCATTTGATCCAAACGTCATGTTTTGTGCAGAGCTTTCGATTTGGGGTTCCAGATCGTTTCCACTGAGTAACACACGTTCTTTTGTCCCTCCAATGCTCGACAGTGAGACAACCAGCCTCCTCCAAACAATCGTGCTTGAGCTGTTCAAGTAGCCTCGGATGGGAAAATCCAGATGTCCCAGATCTCGCGAGCGACTCACCGACGGCCTTTCACAGAAAACTTCAAAATTCCGAAGCAACATGTGGTGAAGATACACCAGCTCCATGACCCAATTAGTGGCCTTTCAACGTTCAGTCTACAGGTTGCTCGTTGGTCTATTGGGGCGTTTGGAATATCATCTGCACTTCTGGTAAGTCGCTGCTGGGTGGCCGGTGGTAGAAGATGTCTTGATGTCTTTATCTACTCGAACCATCTGGATTCTACCAGAGATCCCTCAGACCTGGGCAGAAGAAGGAGCTTGACCAAAGGAGGGTCCCATGAGCCACATTACGTACATTTTATATACATAATATATGAATCAGTTTCAGCATGACCAAATAGAACTATTCTCTCTATTAACACAAAACATTAAGGTAAATAAGTGTTACGCATGTACACCACTGTTTTCATAGGTGGACTCAACCATTGTGACATCTAAAATATATACGTGATTTCTGCTAAAACTGCTAATGTCAAATCTTGGACCCTAGTCTTGTGTGGACCCGCTTCCTACGGCACGTTCGTCTGAGGCTTCAAAGGGAAGGTGACATCCTTGTCCCCTCCTCTCTCTCTCCGCCACACACCTGTATCGACCTTCCTCATGTGCTGAAAAAACGCGACCATTGAAGCAAACGACCATGTGACATGTGGCCAAACTCAACACCCCAAAAAACTTCCATACACACACGAGTGCTCCTCCCCGGCCAGTGCAACAGGGAAACCGTTCGGCCAACCTGCCGAGCGAGGACCGGCCGGCGCTCGGTGCACCGTCTTTTGTGTGCCCTTTTTGGTTTCTTTTGTGGAGGCCAAACCCCCTGACGGGGTATACGTCCTGACGTTCTGAAGCATCGTCATAGTGATTCAAGCTGTGAACTGACTGCCTGCATCAACACCTGATCCTCAGGATCTTAGTATATAGATTGTCTCTGTGTGTGGTAGCTGCCCCGAGGAACAGGCATGCCTCAACATAGACCACCAGGGACATGTACGGACATGTAGACCATCAGAAAAGAACGAGAATCCCAACTGGTCATGTGAAGCACATGTTTGCACCTGCACTCCCTTCCGCCAACCTTGCAGCACGAGAACGCACACGAGACGCACGTCCCAACACGCACGTCCCAACACGAACGCCCTTTCCACGCCCCACACCTCTGTGGAGCCCGCTGCGTGGCCCCGGCCAGCTGATCCGCGAAGGTCGGCCCTGCCAGGCGGGGCAGAAGGGGCGAGGGGCGGCAGCGTGGTCAGGACGAAGCGTTAGGGTTTGGAGGGCACATTTGGGGGCCGGAGGGCACGAAAGAGCAGAGCTTGGAACTGAGGATGAACCTTGGCCATTGATTTGGAGTGTCAAGACATGGCAAGGAAAATAGCCACCAAAGTTCCACTTGGCTCACTTGTTGTTTGAAAGTTCTCCCTGCCCAATCTGCCCCTTTTGAAAAAGGCAACCAGAAAGAGGTGGGTATCAGTTGAACTGTGGATGCTGGAAAACTCACAGTTTCAGTTCGCAATCACTAAGTAAACGAAGGGGCACCCAAGCCGTTCCACTTGGACTTTGAAATATGTGTATGGTCCTCAAAATCTCCCCACACGCAGGTGCCGCAGGTCCCATCAAACCCGGCCCTGCTGATCTTCACCAGTCCCGGCATGCGCCTGCACCTGCCGGCTCATAGCCTCGCTCTCCTGTCGAGCCGACCCGGTCCCCGGCGGGACACTCGTGTCCCGAGGTCCCCAAACCAACAAAGTACATCATCCACAATGTGGGTCATATAAACAATAAAGAATATACCGTGTATATATATACATACAAGAATCTATATCATCAGAGTTTCTATGGCTGCGAAATGGCCGGCGCAATTGAATGAGTTCACTCAATCAATGGGTTCCCGGAAATCCACAGGATGCATCATATAATATTCCAAAAACATCCAAAAACTATCAAAACATTATAGGATTTACCATGCGGGCGAAAAAAAAAAAAAAAAAAAAACAAAAAAAAACAAACCACAAAAACAACAAGGAGTGCTTTGTGGAGTGTTTGTGTGGGCGCACATGTGCATGCCAAATGCTTTCGTTCCACCGCCCCCCCAAAAATTTACTTATTATTTATTACGCAATACATTGCTCCTACCATCTCCCATTTTTTCTTGCATGCTGATTCAATCGGATTCCCTGAAAGGGATCCCCCAAATCCGGATGGATGATGATGTCGGTGGATGATGTTGCATGCAATATTTACACCGCTTCGCGGTCGAAACCGCCCGCACAGAGTCAAGGGAAAACAAACACGCACAGACAGACATAGACATCCATCCATGCATACAAACATACTTACATACATGCATAAATACATCCAAACATACATTGGAAAAGTATGTCATTAGCACCCGACCGGCTCGGCAGCAACCTGCGCTCGCGGAGCCGGGAACTAGCAACTTGTGCTCTCGGAGCCGGGAGGAAATGTTAACCGGGCCCAAGCGTGAAGAAGCGCTTGGCTATGGCCCTATCTAATCACCAGCCTTTTCACCGAGGGTTCTGTCTCGGTCTGTCTGTCTCGGTCTCGGTCTGTCTCGGTCTCGGCCTGTCTGTCTCGGTCTGGCTGTTTCGGTCAGTCTGTTTCGGTTATCTGTCTCGGTCGGCCTGTCTCGGTCTATCTGTCTCGGTCCGTGTGTCTTGGTGTGTCTGTCTCGGTCTGCCCATCTCGGTCTGTGAGGCGTGAGCTGTATTCATTCAAAGTTAGGACATCCCGAATCGTTTTACAATGTTTGGTAAAGAGAGCACTGTATGATTCTGTATGTGTCACTTTGCAGGTTTTACATGTTTCGCATGGTGGGAGTCTTGCCACCAACCATGAACGTCACGGATCATAACCAGCAAAGCGCAAACACACACACAGACAACAAGACACAGGAACCCCTATTTGATTCGTGAACATTCATGATCTGAGAGCATCCCCTCCAATCACTGGAAGCGTGACGAGCTTAGTGAGGAAGGACACCAGCACCGTTTGCAGAGGGCTGCTTTCGCAAGCGCAACATTGCTGGCTTCTGCCGCTCGTTTGCTGATATGTTTTTTTCACTTGCCCATGGGGTACTGTCTCAGGAGCTTCCCTTTTGCACTCTCTCGTGTATCGTTGGGGCATCGCTTTGGCGTAACGGTGTCGTTTTAAGATGTTGACTATGCTTCATGACATCAATGTGATTGTAAGCACACGCGCTGCGCTCACAACACCAAAAAAAGAAACAGCCCCTTTCCAAACCAAGACAGGCGGACAAAGGTGTGTACCTTGTTCAGTGGTGCAGTGGTGGAGCCTAGCCTTTCCTCATCTTTCCTCATAGGCTGAGGCCAGCCCATGAGCCAAGAGCCCGGACACAGCCCTCCAAACACAAACAATCGCTGATTGCCTGCGACACTTGCAAGAGTTCTGTAAATTATACAAGCCATTACAATACTTATTCTGGGGTCCCCATGCTTGGACGCTACCTTGGACGCTCGTTGTCAGAATTTTAGTCCGCGACTTTTCCCCAGTGGCCCAGTCACACAGGCGCCATAGCCGTTCCACTCCAAGGACATGAGGTGACGCCCTTCAGATCAAACCCTTGAGCACAAATGCTCAGAAGAGTTGCTGTAGCAGGAGGACATACCAAAATAGACTTTTTAAAATCAAGGAACTAGCGCATGATAACGTACGTAACAATAGGGGTATTTTTTTTTGGCGTCCTGTATCGTTTTCCAATGAACATTTGAAACCACACTCTTGGGTGAAACGCCGTTGTATAAAGTAAATGACAACAATTTCGAAAACAATTCATTCTCAAACATGTGCTTTACACGAACTTATAATGCTTGACCCAGGTGTTTAGTTCGGCTTACCCGGTTTTGACCCTTGCTCACGTGAATTCCTGGTGTCGCACCGCTTTGGGTGTTCAGCACCGCCCTGGTGTTCGCGTGAGAAATCGCCCGCCTTCACGTGCTCCAGCTTGAGGCGTCGGGGCCTCATCAGCATCAACGGTGCGCGGCTAGGGAGCTGGATGTGATCTGGATGTGATCCTTCTGTGGAAGGACCCTTCTGAGGGGAGGCTCAAAGTTAAAGAATCTTCCCTATCAAGATGTAGCTCTGATATACTGTAAACCCTTTGGCGATCTTTAGGTTAAACTGTTTGGTATGGTTTGGCAAGGACCAAATCACTTGTCCGTCCCCTGCTTTCACCGCAAGAAGTGAACAGTCTGGCCAAGCTCCCGGCAGACTTGCCCCTTGGAGTGGCGAATCGTGGCGGACCGTTGTGGACCAAAACGTAGAGTCCCTCTTAGGGAAAGGACTCCTCTCAATCTCGTCGAGTTTGATTGAAGATGTGGCAGAAGTAAAACTAGACTATACATTTTGCAGTGGTGAAACCGTGCATGGAAGCCTGGTTGGTATAGTCTTTTCTTTGTGGCATTTTGTAGCGGTGCTTCAATTCAGACAATCTACAAAATTGTCCAAGCTCATCTTCCATGATGAGCTACTAACTACCAACCAAACAGGACTCATCCCAATGCCAATGCAATCATGTCGAATCCTCTGATTCAAACACATTCGCAGCTTTTGCCTGGCAACAGATTCCAAAAGCAAGAAAAATATTTCAAAAGCAAGTGGATGCATTGCTCTATTGCGGCGAGCATCTTCTCTGCGAGAAGCCCGCATATCAGGACAAGCAAGCCTTTGCGTTTGTACCCTTTGCGTTCGTACTAGTGATATGGCAAATAGCTGGGTTCGATATGGTTCGACAATATCCGGTGTTTCCTTCTTGCGACTCGACCGAGGTTCTCCAAGTCGACTCCAATCCCTCTGGGTTACCCCACTGAGTGGGACTGACCTGGTCATGCTTGATTGTCTCGTGTGCTCAGGTGTGTATCGTTGGAGAAAGGAAACCATCAGCACCAAGGCTACATACTGGTCCTCCGATTTGGATAACACTGGGTAGGAAGGTGCCATTGACTGCCGAGGGCCATGTGATTATATTTGGGACCTCTCCTCCACCCCAAATACAAAATAAGCGGACAGGAAGTGAATCCGGCTGAAAGTCATCATCTATGTATCTTTGCATGAATTGGACGTCCCCAACGGGTTCACTAATTGTTTTATTGTTTGGGGAACACCTAGAAACTCAGCTACGCCAAATAGCACGCAAAAGATGAATAACTCAACGGCGGATGATCAAGCTTTGTGGATCATTTGTGGATTTAAGAAAAAACCTTTAAGTTGGATTTTATGGACGTTTGAAAATAGTTGGAACAGCCCTTTGTTGGATCTATGTTCAAAACACATGTTTAGAATTGTTCAGGTGTTAAATCGTCCACTCGTCCCACGACAATTTGCTGACCTGGCCTCGCCATCTGAGCTGTCCGGGCGTCCGGCACCCCTGGGCCACGCAGGGGCGTCCGTCTGGGCGTCCGTGGTGACCTAGCCCCATCAGCCTCGAACGTGTATGCACCATTGGATGATCACCAAAGAGTGTCATAAAGGAACCTATTTGCAGTGGTCTAGCTGCAACCAATATCAAAGGAGTGTACAGCCGCTATCAATTTTATACCCGTGTTAAGAACTGAATGCATGGGCAGGGTCTCCTCGTGATGGTCATGCCACGGCATCCATAAATTGCTGGCCAATTCCTAAACTTCAGATATACCTCGAATACGGACCCAACAAGGCCATCAAACTCTCTTCCTAGTTTCCGCATGCGTGGTCAACTCCTTCTGGTGCCCAACCAGGGCTGAGAACGTGCCCATCCCGCTCTGTTCATCCAAAAAAAACATGGAAACTCTTCATCATCCCTCAGAATTCGCTCAGCTCCATGAGCATCTCATGTGATGTTGGCGTCCCGGCAACGGACTGCCATGGGCCGAAGCATTAGGCCTCTCATGGGAGCCGATGCAGGCATTTGGTGCTTCTGTACCACTCACACAAGAAGTAATTTACTGCATATACTCAGTACGGAGACTATACAAGTGTTATAAATAGTTGCTCTCGATCCTGATATACTGTATGGCTAGGGCTGCCAAGGTTGAGGGCTAACACATTGGCACTTGACAGGACATGTTTACCAAGCTATGAACATTGAGGTTGAACCACTATCTGGCTAATTACAGTTGTGTATTTATTTTGCAGAAGCAACATGCCAATAAAGGATATTAAATGGATATTAAAGGATGATAAAAGTGAATCGATGTTGAGTTGAAGAACAAGCACTATATAGTTGAAATCATGCAGTTGTCATGTAGCTCACACACTCTCTCACACTTCACACACACACATTGTCGGCATTGCCAGCCATGGCACAGCCACAATGCAAAGGATCTCCAGAAACCGTCAAAAACAAGGGACAGCACGTGAAACAAAACGGCACAAAAATCGTTCGGACACATGTGGACCCGGCATCATGATAATCATGATAAACAAATTACTTTGCTTCGAGTGATCCCCACCATGACATCTCAGTCATGTGTTTACAAGCCATGCTGAGGAACATGTTGCCGCGGTCGTGAGTTTTGTGATTCTCGATATTGCTTCGGTCCTCCGGTTGTGCGTTGTGGTTGTGTGCTGTGGTTGCGTGTTGTTGTGGTTGTCTGTTGTGGTTGTGTGTTGTAGTTGTGTGCTGTGGTTCTGTGCTGTGGTTGTGTCTTGTGGTTGTGTGCTGTGGTTGCATCTTTGTGGTAGTGTGCTGTGGATGCGTCGTTGTGATTGTGTGTTTGTGATTGTATGTTTGTGATTGTGTGTTTGTGGTTGTGTGTTTGTGGCTGCGTGTTTGTGATTGTGTTTGTGGTTCTGTTTGCTGTTGTGTGTTTGTGTTTGCCTGTTTGTGATCGTGGCTGTGGTTGTGTTTAAGGTTGTGTGCTTGTGATTGCGTGATTGTGATGGTGGCTGTGGTTGTGTTTGTGGCTGTGTGTTTGTGATTGTGTTTGTGGTTGTGCTTGTGTGTTTGTGGTTGTGGCTGTGGTTGTGTTTGTGGTTGTGTGCTTGTGATTGCGTGTTTGTGATTGTGGCTGTGGTTGTGTTTGTGGTTGTGTGTTTGTGATTGTGTTTGTGGTTTTGTGTTTGTTGTTGTGTGTTTGTGGTGACGTTTGTGATTATGTTTGTGGTTGTGGTTGCGTGTTTGTGGTTGTGGCTGTGGTTGTGTTTGTGGTTGTGTGCTTGTGATTGCGCGTTTGGGATTGTGGCTGTGGTTGTGTTTGTGGTTGTGCGTTTGTGATTGATTGTGTTTGTGGTTGGGTGTTGTGGTTGTGTTTGTGGTTGTGTGTTTGTAGTTGTGTGTTTGTGATTGTGTGTTTGTGCTCGTGGCTGTGGTTGTGGTTGTGTGCTGTGGTTGAGGTCCGGCAGGGAACACTCGGGTCTGGAGCTCGCGGTTGAGGTCCGGCAGGGAACACTGGGCGTGGATGGTCGCGGTTGATCGAGGTCCGGCGGAGGAGGCGGAGGAGGACGAGGCGGCGGAGGAGGCGGAGGTGGAGGAGGAGATGGGGCTGACGTAAAATCTAACAACCCTCACCTGACAGGTGGGGAAAAAACAACCTATATAATAATATGTATACGTATATATATATATATCCTTCATTGCTAGTTTTCTGTATAAGTTTTCATTGTTAGTTCATCATAATGAACTTGTTGGTTGGCTGTTTTCTCATGCCTAGTCTCATTGTACGTTGGTCTTGTCTTAGTTGGATCTCCCAGACCCCATTCCGGCCACAGGACGAGGGGGCGGACGAAAAGAATTTTTCGCGGACAAATAGTAGTTCACTTAGTAGTTCTCTCCCGGTATTGGATGATACGGTCACTATTTATACATATTTATACTATTTTAATCTATTTTAACTATCTAAGAAGCATAAAGAGAATTCAACATAACCCAAGTGTCAAACGACCGTCCGGGCCGACCGGTTTCCGGGGGTCGCCACATGTCGCCGGCGGTGAATCTGGGCGACCCCAGCGGCAAAGGCAAGGTGACGGCCGGTGACGCGGTGACTTCCTGTCGGGTGACGCGGGGTTTGTCGTGCGTCTTCGGCGTGGCGGGCGTGTGTGTGCGAGCGACGCGGACGCGGAAGCGGGGGGGGGACGCGGGAGGAAACCGTTGACTTGGAACAACATACACAACTGGGGAATGGGGATCAAAGAAGTTGAGAAGGCCTGTTGATCTATTCTGTTTTTCAGCCTGGTTCAAACAAGACGAGAACAAACGAATTCGACGTTCTGGTCTTACATCCGACATCTTGGTCTTACACAAACCATCCATGCATGGCACCTAGATTGGGATGGTTTCAGGGTTCACTGTATAGTGGTCCCAAATAGATAGGAACGGCTTCCAATACATTTTTGGTGGGGGTCTATATATACATCTATACGTAATTATGCCATACACGGAAGGTCACTTTTGCCAGCAGTCTGCTCTGAAAACCGAGCTAGAGAGACGTCGCGAAACCCAATGGTGTTTGCAACCTGAAGCCTGGCAGTGCTTAAGAACGGGTCAGAGAGCCGCCCTGGCTTTATACCTTAGAGTCTATGCGTGGGTCATGTCTATACCTGGGTTCATCTGCTTGCGGTGAGCGAGGTTGGACACCATCAACGAGCGTGTTAAGGTCGGCCATGACAATAGTATGAAGATTCAATAGGGGGTGGTTACCAGATGTCGCCAAGCCCTCCCACGTCGCCAAGCTCTCCCACCAAAGTGCCACTGGATTTTTTGGCCAACCCAGCTGCAGATTCCAACCCGGCACCAACCGATGCCACGTCTGTCGACCCCGAGGCTCCCAGCCGCTTCGGTCGACCCCGACAAAGGGCGCGTCTGTCCGTTGGAGCCTGCAGGGATGGTCAGAGCGGTCGAACCTGGGGTTGAAGCACGTGGAGCCTCCATGTCCAGATCAAACCATGTCTGGAATACTATTCCATACATGGATGGTCTGGGTATAGTCTTCTTCAAGTTAAACTCACGTTCTCGACCTGGCGGGCCTGGTGTAGAAAAACACACGTGAAACGACATGAGATTGTTGGGGTCCAGCGCCCTTGGCCTTTCGATAAGAACACATTCTCTACGTCTTCGTTTGTATTTGTTTGTAGACTTAGCAATCAAGTCAAGATGAGAGCTATGATTGGTCCGTGACCTATCACATCACGACATGTTTGAATGCCAACCTACTCTCATCCAACTCCACTTTTCCTGCAGGACATCCGTCATACGAAACGGAAGAGTCCGGTGGGGTCGTTGTGGGGGTCTCTTTGGCCCCAAGTACGTATAATTAGGCCAGAAACCCACTTGCCTTGGATCGTCACGATCGTCTCAGGTCCCTCCTTGCATCACTCAGGACCTCGTCCCAGACTCCTGGGCCGCCCTGCGGGGGGAAGCCACCGTCTCCTAGCAGCCATTCGGCAGGTGGAAAGGATCTCATGAGTTGTAGACCCGGGACGATTGAAGCCTCCTATCTCAATCAAGTAGATGCTAATGATACTGTGCAAAAGGGACCAAACAGCAGATCGACAGAAGGCCGGACCATGCGGAATCTGATTGTCGCTGCCATTTTTAGCAGTTTCTTGACACAATACCACACACCAGGTGTGAATGACTAAATCTTAATCTGCCGCTGTAAATTGAGTTCGAGAGGTCTATATGCCTATACAGGTCTATAGGCCAGAGCCCAAATGCACACCTGGACCCAGGAACCCAACTCCGTTGCCAAGTTCACATCCCCCAACTCCGTTGCCTCGTTTCTGCTATTCCTGGCATGCCCGGGGCGGAAGCCGCTTCTGTGGCTCTGCATGGCTGCTGGTCAAGTGGACGCACTTGATGTGTCCAAGCCAATGAAATACCTTGAAATGTCTTGCATTGCCGCGCTTGCTCATGGTACACCACTATTTCTGACAAAGGTCACAAAAAGCCATGCTCTGTAGTAGTATCTTACATGTGGAGAAGTAGTTTCAAGAAGCCGCACGACTTGGACCGACTTGGGCCTGACACCCAAATGTTGATACTGAGGTGTAGAGTCAAAAAGAGCTCTTTCGACCCAACATCATCCAACATCCATAAAGGCTAAATAGAGGGTGTGTGGAGAAAGGGGATCCGTTTGCATCTGAATCCAGGGCATCTATATAGTTTTGGACAACATCCGAGACGCCGACTTTTTGGGGCTTCCCACCCACATCTCGCGCGAGCGCTTATAGAACACCCGGCCTTCGGCTGGACTGCTCCTGCGAACCACATCGGCTGAAAAAAGTGACAAAACATCAAGGAATGTTCAGACCGTGTTCGGGAGTTTCTGAAATACCCTTCAGTTGTTTTTGTGCTTTTGCATGTGCTAGCTATCCTGTTGGCTGAGGCGCAGCAAAACATAGCCAAAACAAGTTGAACCGCAGCAACATTACTTCCCATGTTCACATCACTTTGTTTGCGGTCATCATCCTTGATTCGAGCTAGATTTCTCAGTTCATGATTCATGATCATCAACAGTTGAGAAGCATCAAGGATAGACTCTTGGATGACAGGATGTTTCTTGCAGGGTACTTTAGTCCAACAAGTCTTGCTGTCCAAACGAGGGATTGCACACATAAATAAACATCTAAAGTTTGCATCATCTTGCATCCAGCTTCCTTTGGTACCATACCACAAGAGATCACAAAAGGAAGTGCAGTGCGGGCGCAAAGCCCATGAAAGAACCATACCAAGTCTTCTGGCGTCACGTGTGGCACTTGCTTCTGCATGTTGCGACGGGAGACGGGAGACGGGAGACGGCCTATCCCACAGAGTAGCTTCGTTCGCTAGCTAGTAATGCCCTTGTGACTAGTAGCGATGCCCATGCTACTAGTAGCTTCATTCGATACTCATTCTCATGAACCGAAGGTAGCTCCAAAACCGACGGTAGCTCCTTCTGCTCAGCGTCGTCTCCTAACCAGGTACAGCGACGAATGGAACTTGGAACGAAAAAACAGCTGCTTGGAGGCCATGGCTCTTAGGTTGGAGGCCATCGCTCTTAGGTTTGAGGCCATTGCTAGTAAGTTGGAGGCCATCTAATTACCTGATGGATCCCCAGTACCTGCTGATGTTGGAACCGGACCAGTGACCCACTAGTCACACCCATCAGGTGGCAATCAAAGAGGTAGGAATAAGCAAACATCGGATGCCCCCGGGGAGCGAAGAAGGTGCGCGGCGCAAGCCTGCTCGAGGTAAGGTCCCAAGGGGAAGCAGCCCCAGGTCCCAAGCAGGGATGTAACTACCTTCCTATCTAATCGTTCCACCTCTCAGCTAGATCTTCAATGTTCTTTAGCCTTTTTCTTCCTGATTCTTGCTCACTTGCCACTCTGGCCAGGAAGCAAGCCCCTACTTGGTTACAAGCCTTTGCTTCTCATCTTAGTCTTCCTATATCTAGGTCTGGTTCTTGCTGCGTCTCAGTCTCAGTGTCTTCCCATACATTGAGTTCCCCTCTCTGTGTCTCCGTGCGCGACCGACCCTGTGACTCGACCTGACGAGAAGTTGGGAAGGAAGGAGCTCGCCGCATTCGCCAAAGAGGCCTGGGCGGCCGAACCGGTGTCGAACGCCCCATCTGCGACGACGTGGACCCGGCGGGGGCCGTCGAGAACCGAAGGTGTTCCGATTCCGATGCTTTGGTCGGTTGATTTCGGGGGCCAGGTGGTGAACACAGGTGAAAGCACGTTGTTCCAAGCAAACCGCTTGAGCCTGGAGCATTCATGGCTCCAATCACAAGCAATTTGTCCACGAGGGGGATAAGGACACACATCATCATCTCTAAATGAAACAGTGTTTATAATATAAGCCTGCAAAGGGGTACACTGCACATGTTTGATGTATTTATACCCAGCTTTGCTCAGCTGAGCATCTTGGAGGTCGAGATCGAGGGATGTCGTAGTGCCTCCGAGATCTTGCTGGCCGCTTCCACTCTGAAAAAGGACAATCACTTCACCCATGCTGCCTTCCAGAGGAGATCCCTGGCTAGCTAGTCAGATTCCTACTAAAAATGCAATAAAGAAACCCTTCAAGTCATGAAGTGGGATGAACCCTTGGAAGCACCAGAGGTTTCCAAACATCTTTTCCGTAGATGTTGCAACTATTTCTCATAGGCAGCCTACCATGCGACCAGCCGGGTTGGACGCACCTCACTGGTCAACTCGTCGCTCTACCACTTGAGCCCTCTCCGGTGCCGCTGGTGCTCCCCGACGAAGGCTGATGTGGAACGCTCCTCGTTCAGGCTCGACCAAGGTTGATGAGAGTTCGCACCGAGCTCACTGCAGTCGGTTTTGAAGGTGCGTTTCCCTGGTGAGAGATGGTGGCTCTACCAGTTTCCATGCTTTGTGGCGAGTGTCGCTGAGAGTAGCAATGTCCATTCGAGTTCTGGCACTGTCAGAACCATCCAACACCTACTTCAGCTCATTCGATTCAATCATGAACTCATGATGCAAAGGGCCGGTATGATACCTAAATAATATATTCCTATGATACCTGCCAAGATGGAGGACTTGCTCATAACCGCGGAGGATCCCAGCGATTCAGTGCTTGACACAAGGTGTGCTTGTCTGGGGCTCAAACAATCCTAAATCTGCCGATGAGGCAAATCTGCAAGTTGGAGAGCCATGGAAAGAATCCCAGTTCCACCGGTTTTTATACTTTATTCACTATCGGGGAGTACAAAGGCAACCTTTGGCTATCAATCCAGGGGAACCGTCCCTCATGCAGGTCCCAGGACCTCCAGTCTGGCCTTCAAGGAACTTTCGTAGAAAACATTCGCTCACTTTGTTTATCTCAGCTGACCTATTTATTTCACCAAGAACGCCAGCCCCGCTGTTTTTCACAGCTTGTATTTAAACATCTTCCCACCGTGAGGTCGGTGAATGCCCTTCATTGACTGGGCCAATGATGGAGAGCGGGACCTCGCCCAGATCGGGTCCTCCTTTTGCTCCTTGGGACTTAGCATGGGTCCTGGGTCCTGCGGGATGACACGCGCACGACAATTGGTTTCACCCAAAACCATATCCTTTATCAGCCTTTATCCATATTATAACTCACAACCCTGCACGTATTTTTCGCTATTTTTGAGAAGAAACGGACATCTGACATGACTACTCTTCAGGCCCTTCCACACAGCTTAAAACAGTAAAATCTACAAATACACAGAAACAATATGAAACAGCAATGAAACATATCCACGCTCAAACCCAATAAACCACAAAGGCACGCTCAACCATGCAGTGCCATGCGGGATCTCGAAGCCCTTGCCTGCAATGGCCGTGCAGGCCGGTTCGCAGGCGGACAGAGTCCAGGTGACGCAGTGAAGGCAGTTGAACGGAACTCGTTGAAATGCGTTGGATGCCATTTCTTACATGTAAACAAATGCATTGTGAATCTCTCAGTTCATGTGTTTTTTACAATAAAAATATGACATGAGGGAAGGTTCCTGGAAGCTCACAGCTGCCGCGAGTGGGGTATTTTTCTTCCGGTGGGTGTTCGACTGGACTCCGGCGCTGTGACAATTCTCAGTGCTATGTGGCCATGTGGGAATTGTCCAGTCTGGCCTGTATTTGGATGGTTTTCATGAGCGAAGTCACGGTGAACTCCAAAAAAGGAACGCATGCCGATCAGAACTCAAACATTGGGAATGTGAACAACAATATCTTGTGTTTCAGCATGGCGCAAAGAAAAAGCCTTGGACTTGATGAAAACCCCACTGCATTTGACACCCATGGTGGATTGAGACTGTTTAGGACTTATTCAGAAACGCACCGGCTAGGAGCCAGAAGTTGGACGGCGGAACGGTCAGGACGGTCAGGAGGGCGGGTTACGGTCCAACCGAGGGCGGTCCGACCTGGCTTCATACCGCTAAACCGGTCACAATGCCATGTTTGTGTAATCAAAGGTCTGAGGGAATATAGGGTCATGCTTGAGACACACCAACATAAATACCAATATGATTCCCAGTTTGGAGTGCTGAAGTCTGGTTCTGAGCCAAAAACACATAGGCTCGGTGGCTTTGGATGAAGTTCAAATCAAGGCAGCAAGAGTTATTTGTTGGAATCGGAGGGTTTGACGTATATATGTATATATCAACATATCTATATAATCATAAATATAATTGGTCATCTGAGTCCACATGCCTCCAGCCTGAAGCTTAACAAAAAGTATATATATATATAACCAAGAAGACACATGGCCAGACTGCCAGGCTGTGCAAGATGTTAAAGCAAGTGTGACAGTGTTTGCCTGTAAAAGAAACGGTGCTCTAGCAAATTGTGTACCTCCCGAACATTCCGGGAATGCAACATTTGTTTAGATGCAACACAAAAACCACTGAAGCTGCTCTTGGGAGACATCTGCCAGTAAACATGTCAGTCTGTTGCAAGTTTCTTGCTAGGGTTAGTAGAATCTCAAACAAAGGCAGCTGGAAGGCTGCTGGTTGCTGGGTCACCCTTAAAAGCTGTACGAACACCGACAAACACCTGGATTTCCAAGTTGACCTGTGGACCTGTGGATAACTCACAGGAGGAGGACCGCTGCTTGCAACGCGAAGCAAAGGTACCAAGGAGGCCCGCTTTTTAGAGCGTTGAGCATGGGAAGCGCCGCCGTTTCAGCTCCTCCTCTGCTGGGTCCTGGTGTTAAGGCACGTGGAAAGGAACAGGGTGGGGTGGAGGCCGGCGGAGGAAGGAACACCATGATTAGGTGCTTGTAACTTTGGTGGTTGTGGTCCATGAAAAACCACTCTATGGCTTGCAGACTGGTTTGTAGAGAAAGACGTAGAAACCATCGGTTCTTAATGTACCCCACAGAACTGTAGGCAGAACACCCCCAAAACATGCTTTGAGCAACTCGGAATTTGAGCTGCTGAGGTTTCGGTGTCTTCTCAATCTGGGACCCAGCAATCACCAGTGGGTTCAAGCTCCACTTTGCTCCCTTTTATATGCATGTTGTTTATTTGGGAGTTATATAGGTTTCTTTTTCCAGGTGGCCATGCTATTTGACTTGGAACATAATCTGAGGTGCGCAACCAAAGGCGTGCTGGATATGGAGAAACCTGTTTAAAGTACTAATTATGAGTTCCATTCATTCCTGGATTGCCCCGATACTATGACATGATACATTAAATTACATAGTTTATCACGGTGACGGTTTATCACATTCTACCAGCAACGAGTTGCAAGAGAACCTGCAGCATGATTTAATCAAAGTTTGCCAGCATTTACCCACGTATATATATATATAGAAGTATATACAAAATCAAACACAAACAAACATACACTATTGACAATTTGTTGAACTCCAAGAAAATTCCACAAATTAAGTCCAGCTTCCTCAGCTAAAACCAAATGAGCAACCAAAGTTTGGCATAAAGAAACAACCAAAAACAAACACACCATAACAAACCCATTACAACCGAGCAAGAACTGCTGACTGCTGACGTCTTTTCCTTTTCCGGCCTCCAGTTTTCCTCGGCCTTGTCGCTTACGACCTTGCCAGTCCAACTGGGACACACAGCGCGGTGCACGGAGTTATCTGCGACAAAACTCCTGAATCTTCCCTGCATGTTCATGAATCATAAGACCAGGAACCTGAACTTTCTTGATCGCATCAAAGCCATGCAACAAGACGGGTTGCTGGAGGGTTGCTGGCCGCAAACTTCACATTCTTCCTTACAACATTCCTGAAAATAATAATGAAATCATTTGACTCAAAAGATTCACTGACGAATTAGCCATCAACCAAATGACCCCTACAAGGGAAGAGCGAGACAGAGAGGAGCCAACATTCCAACCATGGATGCCACGTGAGGAGTTGTCAGAACGTCCCCGAGGACGACAACACGGGACAGCTGAGTTGATCCGAATCGGTTTCATCGTTTCATCACCCCTCACTGGGTCTTCCCCACACCAGCAGCTCGGGTGTGACTTGTTCCAGGTGCTCCAACAACAAGCCTGGCACAGACTCAAGAGCAAGTGAGAGTAGCAGGAGGAAACCAAAAGCTCAGGATTCCGGGAATACCAAGAGTTCATGTTTTGTGAATTAAAAACTCTTTAAACAAGCGATTATTCGGGATTGCTGTAGATCTTCTTGCAACAAACAATTTATGCACCAGGTCTTCTTCCTTAGGTAGCAGCTCTGGCAACGCCGGAACATGCCTTTTTTCCTTCAGAGTTTCAAGCAGTGCCTTGAACATGGCAATCCTTGGACTAGGGGCTGGGCCCTCTTGTTCTGGAAACAAACAAACTCAACAAAAAAGGTGCTTCCAGTCCTTCTTTTGAGGTTCTTTTTTCTTTCAGCGACGCCCCGGCTTTCGCCCTCACTCACTCGTCTCGTTCCCGTGCCTGTCTGCGAAGCCCATGCGTCCATCCGTTCGCGCATCAAGTCGATGCGCACCTCCGGTGCAGCGTTCGGACGGCGGATGGAGTTGCAAAGAGTTTTGGGTCACGTATTCTCATTAAACAATTGGGGCTGACCTAGCCCAGTGACGGAACGTGTTTATAGTTCTAGATTTTGTCTACAATCAACAAGTTGTAAATCGCTACAGCTTCGACTCTTGCGCCAGTTGTGCCAGAAACAACAAAGGATTGCGGCTATAACTACCCCACGGTCATGTCCACTGCGGAGAGACAACACAAAACTGTTTTTGGAATTCCTTAAGTTGAACCTTATCAAACTTGCCACAATAATCAATCGCATTACGATGTAGGTTCCCGTGGCAAACCACACAAACATGGTCTACAGTGATTGTTCATGGACATAACAGGCCAGGGGGGGCGTTGACAAGTGGTTGAGTTGGGCCTAACGTGACATACTCACCAAAACATGGCAAAGCCATAGCGAGCTACAATCTTGCATGTCGAAGCCTCACACATTGAGCTCTTTTCTTCTGGGTCTCCCCACCGGGTCAAGGATGCGTGGTTTCACCCAGGTCACAGTCACCAGCTGATTCACCTGGAGACCATCGACATCGGCTTCAACATCGGATGATTCGAAGTCGGACCAGCAGCGACCACCCTGTGACACCTCCGTTCCACTCAGTTCTCTCCATTTTGGCCGCCATCGTGTTGCTTATATACACATGTCACATATCACTGATGTATGTATGTAAGTATGCAAGTATGTAAGTATGTATGTATGTATGTATGGATGCATGCATGTAGCTGTCTACTCCAGGGAACAAATCGTCAAACGGGTGAATGCTCCATGTGTAGCTTGATAGAGAAATATTTCGACACTGGCCGCTCTCAGCACTCAGAGCACAAGATTCTGCTGCAAATGTTGGTGCCAGTGCATGCTAAACTGTTGGGGGTGAAATTTGTACTGCAACCTATTTAATTGCCTGTAAACTTGTTGCAAAACATATTTTTGCATCGTGTGGTAGTGCAATACTGTCACAGATCGGTCGGACTTTCCCTACTGATCCATATGCAACCCAACCGCCACTCGCAAACCAAAGCAAGCAAAGAAACAAAAAAGCATGTTTATCTCAAGTGGTTCTTCTGCCTCCATTTCCACTTTGCTTCCCTTCCCTCCTCTTACAGCTCCAAGCACATCCATTGTCAGTCCCACACTTCCATAATTTAGCTATTCGAACCAAACGCCGTTTGCATGTGAGCCACTAAGAACATGAGCCTTTCAACTGCCACACGAACTGCACCTCACCAAAAGCCAGCAATCTACACCACAATGGACGACAAACACTCATGGCGCGTTAGTTAAGTAGTTATGTGCCATGACCATGACACAAAGGGCCTCTGGTTCAATGTCTGGCATTGTTTCTGGGTGAATCAAAGCAACCTTGCTGTATGTGAACTTCCGATCCATGCAGGCACGAGCACAGCACGAGCTCTTCCCGAGTGCCGCAAGGCATCCGAGTGCCGCAAGGCATCCGAATGACGAGGTTCCGCAAGGCCCCCCAGAAACGTCTGGCATGGCTGGCATGTCAACCATCCAGCGAAAGGCACTGTTGGCATGTTCGATATAGATAGACAAGGAAGCGGACAACGCTTCCTTCCCGTTCCCAATGCGAAAAGTATGTTGGGTTCCCCCCCTCGGATTCCAAAGTTTTGGAATGCCGGCAATGAGCTATGTTCAATCAAGCAGGGGTATTGGTATATATAGGGTTGGCCCCTATTTTGTATTCAACTATATTCAACTCACACATGCTCAGCAAAACTTGGCAATCGGATCTCTCCCGCCTCATCGATCTGCCCGCGAATGAGGTCAGCACACATGGACTTCATCACCAAGTGCTCCACCTGCCGAAGTCAGTGCCCCGTGCCAGGCTGTGCCAGGACCACGAGGGAATCGACTCCCTCTCCTTCACGACAACCCTCGATGTTCATGGCAGGCTACAGACTCTACAGTGGTTTCAGAGGTTCGATGCCTGGCAGCACCCCAAGATGTCCTAAACAAATTGACCATACTAAACCCTACAAAACCATACAAGGAGTCCACTACTAAACCCTACTAAACCACCGACCGTGCGGCCGAACGAAGGTGCCAGCCGTTACATACCGTTACATGGGCCCGTTACCTTCATCCCTCGAGAGGCTCGTTCCACCTCTGGGCTCGGACCGGCTGGGACGTGCTGTGAAGCAATGGCCAGACACGACGGAATGCCATAGGACTGCCAGACGGAGAAACGGACTCCCAGGGGTGCTTGTTTCAAGGGTTCAATGGGGTGGCATCTATGGCATACACCACGGAGTGTCTGGGAATGTACCAAGCTTCAACCCATGGGTCGCGGTGTTTGGGGCATCGGACTAGAGATGTTTCTTGTGTTCACCAAGCAGCTTGTCGACTCCAAAATTTCAAGCTTGGCGACTCTTTTTGTATCTTTCCATAATTTTCCATTATGTGCGATTCTTAAGGTTCAAACATGGACATGCCCAGCTCGTGCGGCTCGAGCTTTTCTTACGCGGCACACATCTGCGTCTCAACATCTTTGTGCCGCTTGGGTGATGACGATGGGAACCGCCTGTTTCGGAAACGCGGCTGGACACGGACGCGGCTGAAGACCTTCATCTCAACTACTCTGCAAATCGCTGCAACACTTGAAACACAAATCAGTCTCTTGAAGAAGTCATACGGAATCTCTCGTGACGCAACAAGACAGCGCTCCTGCTGCCAGTACATACCAGCGTACTGCCACCCTGGCGCGACTGTGCCCCGTTGCCCACACGCACACTATCGCTGGAATGTACAAGCAAGCGCATGTGCTAGATCTATGACCTGACAGCAATATTTGCTCAATTACTTCTATCCCTTCTTTTGACATAAAAAGCTATGTTTAACATAATCATACGAATCATATTATGTATAATATATATATATATATATTCTGTATATATTATTCTATTATCTATTTGTATCTTCCGATTTACGTTGATCTGGGTCCTCCCCATGTTTACCGGCACATCTCTTTCAGCACTTCCCTTGGATCCCACTTCCCCTTCTCACCCCCAAAAAATGACTGGCTCACGACAGCCCTGGGCCTATGCCATAGGTCGAGGCCACATACCTGATACCCAATCTGCAAGACTTGTGCCAGTCGACCGGAATTCAAGGGCACTCAAACGTGGGCTCCCCCTCAAAAAGGGCCAATGGACCTTTTCCGGCTTGAGAAAGCCACTTTCGCCTATGTTTCCTCAAACTGCGAAGGGTCATATGACATCCTAGAGCCTTAACATGACCTCTAGTTTTGATAGGAACATATCATAATTCACTGTGGTTGGTGATCCAAAGTAGAGGTCACTCAGGCCTCATAGGATACCATCACAAAAACATTCGAGGCCCTGCAAACCCTTCCTTCATCACATACTAGGAGGCTTCAGCTACTAAGGATCCGTCGGTTCTGTTACCTGTGACAATAGGAATCTCTAGTCTAGTACCCATGTCATTGGTATCGACAGTGGATAACTATCGGTAGAACAATGGCATACAATGTCCAACTATCCGTCAGGGCCCAATTTATGGATCAAAGCTGAAATGCCCTCAAACTGGGATCATCTCATCATGAAAAACTGGAGTGAGGCATCCCCTCCACGAAACCCACTAATTTCAGAACAAACAAGCCCTGGGGGCGTTTCTTCATGTTTCTCCCGCTCCATCCGAGAGGCTCCCAAGCGCGATACTCCCCAGAAAGCTCGAAGCCCACGTAGTTGACCAGCTCCTCAGGTGAGCGAGTCGAGTGGCTGTCGACGTGGATTCAGAGGTGTGTTGGTCGACGTGGACGGAGGCACCTGGCCTATCTGACCGGAGTCCAATTCAGAGCAAGGTGGATTGTTTCACCAATTCAAAGCAACATGGACTCAACAGGTTGCAGGACACAGTGGTTGCCTTAGTATCCTATTCGTGTCGAACAGTTTCCGTCCCGTTGAGATCAGACATGTTCAGAAACAATCCCAGGATTCCCAGGATCCTAGGTTCTTATATAGGTTCACAGGTTCCACCGTGGTTTTCCATACTTCTCAAAGCGAACATGGATCCATTGCCCGTGGCTTCCGTTGTTTCGATGGGTTCGGCCTGGCGGTTTCGGTGTTGTCTAAACCGAGCGGCATCGTAGACCAGTACAGAACCAGCCATCAGTTGACAGGCGATTCTGGACAGGACCTGCGCAAACACGCTTGCGGATCCAAACATTCCATAGGCATAGATGCAAGTTCTGTTTTTGAATGTCTTAATTCGTATTTATATATAGCTATAGTGATGTTCCCTCAGTTCAAGGCCTTCAAGCTTGCCAAAGAGTGACCGTCGGACAACAACTTTGACAACTTCACTTCCGCTTTCGCCTCATGTTTAACTTTTCCCGGTGAGTAATCTCGTGCAAAGGACCAAAGAGGAGCTATCCAAAAACACACATTGCTTGCCCACACTTGACCAATCAGAATGTTTCCTTATCTTCAGACTCAGGGTGAAACATCAACTGGCATGTGTTCGTACTACCCTTGGAAACAACGAGGGACGAACCTAATGAAGGACTGGGCAAATCCATGTCAGACAGCCACAAGCTTGCCGACAGGAACTGACTGGCATGCAAATAGTTTACCACCTGGCCTCGAAAGGGAAGTTTCAGGGAACTCCACAAACAGAAGCACCGAAGAAAGTCCAAACAATAATCAACAAGTGCCAGGGAACTTGCAGGGTGAGAGTATGAAGGTACACAGGAAGGGCCCCAGAGCAAGCTCTTTGAATAAACCTTGATGCGGAGACGATGCCTTCACCAGAGCCGAATCCTGAACTTCGTTCGATGCCACGACACATCCACTCGTGGGGACTCTTCTGTCGAAAGCGTCGACATGTCGCCTTTGCGCAACGAAGCCACAGGACCTTTTTTGTTCTTTTTACTCCCAGGGAGGTAGGCCGTAGAGGTAGCTAGTAGAAGAGGTAGCTAGTACTTTACCTAAGCTACTAGTATGGACGCAGGATCACTCACGCTTCTTCAAGGAGGGGAAAGCTTCCTTGAAGAAGCGCTCGCACTATTCATTTTGGTTCCTAGAGACTTTTAGGGAAACAGCTTGCGGTCCTGGTTGTCACTTGAGGCTCAATGAAAAGAAGGTGTAGGCGGTTGGACACACCAGCGGTTAGAAAGAAAGCCCATATAAACTATATACAGCCACGGTAGATTGTCCAGCTGCGCCATGAAGCATACAGCTTCAGCGCTTCAGCATCCTGAAAACCTCGTTCCATCCACCGGGCTGCACCGCGGCACCTCAATGGCTGAAGGGAAGATGTCGACGTCAATGTGAGCGAAGGCCACTGGCCTCGGTGCATGAGCTGAGTGAGGTGGGACAGGTGTCTGGGGTGTACTGTAGTTCCTGAAGGATCAGGTTCTTTAGCCCCTTTGAACGCAACATGCCATGGCCCGAGACTAGTGACTAGAACATGAAAAAGTAATAGATTGTTATAGATTTACTAGTGACTAGTTACTAGTGATAGATTGTAATAGATTTAACTCGTAACTTTGCCGGACGCCAACTGGTGCGGCCGCGTTGGCCAACCTCATTGAATGTGTACGGCCAACACTTGGCCGTTCCATGAGGTGCTGCTCTTCATATCACCAACAACGCGTCAATCCCTCTTGTTTGCCCTGAGCCTGACTGGGGAGGAGCAAACAAACTTTTGCTGTTGACCGTAGTTGGTCAGGGTAGTCATGGTCAGGGCAAATTGAGTCAGAACCTTCTTCTCCACGGCGCAAGGTATTTGGCTCCGTGTTATTCTATTTCAGAGGTCATGCGCAACCCCAACAATCGTTAGCCTCATGCAACTTACGACGGATTCTGTTGTCCGTAGTTAGCCGTGAGCCTAAGTGGGAGCCGTCAGAAAATAGCCGTGAGCCTAAGTGGGAGCCTGTCTGATTAGAGAACGACTGTCACAATGAGTTCACACATTCATCTGAGAAAGCACACATTGAACAACATGATGTTGAAGACTAAAGTGCTTTTCCAACATTAGTGTCACATATGAATGTTGCTTTCACAAGGACCCTGTGGAAGGGGAAAGTCTGTTTGTGCTTCCCGGACACATATGCCTTTTGTATTACAGCCCTGCACACAAGAAACATTTGCTCATGAGGTTCAACGTCAGAATGTCCAGGCTCCCTGCAGTTATAAAGAATTAGCTTTGCGCATGGCATAGGGGGCTTTAGTTCACCAAATGAAGACCCATGGCATCTTCACTATCATGACACCTGTCGAACACCGACCGCACGGACCGCGACACCGACCGCACGGACCGCGCACGACCACTGAGCAGATCGGGCGTGGTCCCAAACTCGTCCAAGTCACCTGGGACTCAAAGGGACCCCGGTCGACTCAAAGGCCCAACTGGGCCGGGACCGGCCAAACAGTGGATGCACCAAACAGTTGAGGCCGGAAACGAGGGAACGGCAAAAGAAATGAACTGAGTAGGTTGGGCACTCTGAAACAGGACTCTTTGGAGTCAATAGGTTATGTATAATAATACAATATAAATTAACTATATATATATATGATTAAGGATTTTATTTTTATATGATTTATATGCGTTAGATATTGAAATTCAAGGCACATCAATATCGGATGCTCAGGTAGACTGTAGATGTTTGTCTTCGGGACTTGAAGAAGCATGGATCGGGAAGACATATGGCTCTCTTGAGCCACACAAGACAGGCTCTAGTGGAATCCCACGAGCAGGCCGGTACCCAACCAATCCAGCTTCCCCCGATTGGTGGTCCGTAGATTTGTTCTACCAATCTCTAGGTCTTGAGCGGAGTCCCCAGCCAAATATACAATGAACAGCATAGAAACTGCTGGAGGCACTGGGTAGGCACTGGGTAGGCACTGGGTAGGTCGGTCAACCTCAACTTTCACCAAGCAAGCTTGGTACAGCCCAAACCTGTTTAGTTACTAATCCGACACACAAACAGACAGCGCAAATACTTCACCAATCGTTTTTATGTGACACGAGAGAAAACAATTCCAGAAATGCCTCTGAAGTCTTGTGATAAATGTTAGAAAAGGGTCCACTTCTCTTTTGGGCCCAAAACAGGACCCAACAAAAAAACAACTATTTGGCACCAACCCCCAACCAAAGCGTCCCCCCCGTCCATGCCAGTCCGCCTAAGGTCTCAGAGAAGAGGCCCATATGGATGCGGACCTAATTTGTTCATCGGCGGATGAAGTTCACTCCCTGAGACAAAAAGGTGTTTTCGACCAGGTCGTGAATTCCACTGGATCCGAAAAAACAAAATCGGGGTGTTTTACATGAAGTACCATCAAATTGTTTGTTGAAACAAAAATACATTTGCAACTGCAACTGTTTGATGTTGCTCTCCTGGATCTGAAAATTGTGGATGTACAGTAATGGTCCTCTACCTTAGATGGTCGAACCCACAAGCCTAGACTTTACAAGACTGGTCTAATTTAGCGTGGTTTTGTACTTTCATTGTGACAACCACTGGTTGACAAAACGTCCAACATAACATTGGGTCGCGTGACCGTGACCTGTTGAATTCTTGACTTTTGAGGCCCTCTTGCAATATTGCATGCAGCAAGTCCAAGTACTGGAACCAGCTGAAGCGAAAGCAAGACACACACATCCAAAAGTATTGTGGTTTGTCATGAGAACATGAGCAAACTGCCACGATTTTCAGGGTCAGGCACGTCAAGGTCATGGGCAAAACATGTTTTCACTTGCCAGTGTGGGCAGTCAAAAGTGTTCACCTTGGAGACTTGCAGTTCCCCAAGGTGGAGAGGATCCAAAAATGGCCTTGCAGAGGTGGGGATTTCTCGTCTTTTGAGTTGTTGGTGGTCCAAACTAGGGATCACTCAGGTTCTGGGTGTATAAGTATACTGTTGTATTCATGTTGGATGCTGATTAGTAATAGGGCACTCTATAGTGCTGTTCAACTTTTCAACAGTAGTTCTTGACGCAATGTTTGTTTTAAGGGCTCTCCATTACGCTAATTTGTTTGGTGGCCCTAGTTTTGTACTATCAGAAAAACAATTTTAAAACACTTAGAGTTGCCAGCACCAACAAAGCACAAATAAACAACAAAGAAACTATGTATGGTGTCATAACTATAACGCTAGTCCTTGCTGAGGAAAGTGTGCTTCTTGGCCTGAGCTGCCTCCTGGGGAGGTGGTATCTGAGGCACTTGTAGGGGTAACATGCCAAGCACGCGGATTGCCACCTGCATTTAGCACATCTTAGCACGCCTGCCCAATGCAAATTCTAAGGCCAAGACAGCCTCAGTAGCAAATTCTGGCAGGAGTGAGCTCAGCCTTCCACCCTTCCAGCGTCTCCATACACTGTCTGAGCTCCTTGCGCTCCACCCTCAGCTTTGCCCGCGCCTCTTCCAGCTTCTTCTCATACGACGACGAGAAGGTGCATGTTTACATAGCTGCCCAACTGAACGACACCCAGTAACCCAGTCTCAAGGCACGAGAACTCGTAGCCCACCTTCCATCGGCTCAAGTGAAACATAGTTGCTGCATCAAGGGCGACCATAGCACAACCGCTGCAGGGAAAAATCAAAATACGACTCGTAGATACAAAATGCTTCGCCCGACCGTCCACCCATGCAACGGTCCGCCGCGGTGACCCCGTGTCTCCAGGCGGTGACCATCAGGCAAGGCCATCCAGCCACCAACACCTTTTGACACAGCGAAAGGCCAGCGTAGGTGGTGCCGCCACGAGGGCGTGGGGCCTGAGTGATAGTAAGCTCATGAAGGACGTGTCCCTTTTCCGCTTCAACGCGCTCAAGCGATCTCTGGCCGTCGTGGCACACGAGGGTCTATCAAGACAAAGATTCCAAATTCCAAACTGACCAATTGCAGCCGAGCCCCTCCACTGCCAGGCCGCGCGGAGGCCAGCTCAGCGAGGCAGCAACTTCTTCTCATACTCAGCTGCCGCAGAGGTGATGTAGACAATCAGACCACCTCTCAAGCTGCTTGTTCTACTGGCTGAGATTTACCCCAAACACTTCTCAATAAAGTCCACCACCTCAGCATGCTCAGCAGACTTCTGAAAGAACTCTTGAGACCCCATAGATGGATGAATGGGAGGAGAAGAGGGTGCTGGTGAAGTTGCGCGGGGCTCAGGCTGCTCAGGCTCCTTTCCCTGACAGCCTTTGCCTTTCTGATCCAGAAAGCCTCTCCTTCCCTTGAACTGAGAGACTGTGAGGTGCATCCTTAGCCGCCAGGTCAGCCAGCTTGTGTATTGGTGACCCAGTCATCCACCCACCCACCCACCCACCCACCCGTGACAGGCACTTGGCCCAAAACAAAGGGATAAAGCTGCAAAATGAATTGACCAATGAAAGGAACACCTCATTATAGTACCTGGCAATAGCTGAGGCTGACCACCTGAGCAATGCTTGCTTTAGCTTCCATGGCCCTGAAGGCAAGCACATTGCAATTACAAAGCCAAGTAAGCCACAAAAGTGAAAGTAAAAAGATGTTTAGGCCAAAGGAGATGCAGCCAGCCTGCCATGGAATCCTGCTGAGGATCACCTTGTGCCCATTGGGGCTCCAAGCCCCAGGCTCATCTAAGGCCCTCAAACCTATTGATGAAGCAAAACTAGGTATATAAATGGATGTGAGGGCGCAAGAGGTCAGCAACCTGAATGTCATCTGAGTTGGTTGTCATGGCTCCAAGCTTGAGCTGAGGGCTTGGGTGCTGAGGGCTTCTTGAGCTGAAGATCTGAGGCCGCAGAGGAAAAGGATTGCTGAGAATATCTGCTGAAGATCTGAGGCTGCATAGGAAAAGGATTGCTGGGAATATCTAATTGCAAAGAACCTGAGAAAGGACAATTAATACTACAATCAATAACAAAAGGAATCCTCCCAGGAACACAGATTTGTTTTGGTGGTAGTTTATTCTAGAGGGCCTCCCATTTGTTTAGAGGGGGAACCCCTTTACTATTCAAGATCCAACATTATATATGTCTTGAACATGAGGGGTTATTTTTCACTCTTATTCAATTCTTATGTCGGTCAATCGAACAAATAGCCAAGTGTGCAAGTCATGACATATCATACAATGAAAAGCAAATAGGCGGCTCTTGAATGGGCAAAGACCGTACCGTAAGTAGTGTAGTGTCTATCCAATCATCATGTTTTGACTCTCTAATTTCTCTGCACTCTGATACGTGACCCTGCCTTTTCCACTCAAGGTTTGAGACATTCTCACCACAGCTCAAGCCGACGAGCCTACGTAGTAGCGTTTTTTCGTTACCGGCTCTCTGACTATCCTTGCCGGATCCCGCACCCCCCGAACTCGCTCGGGTCAAAAACAGGACGCTCCGATGAACGAGCTCGGTGTGAAAACGGGTCAATGACATGACCGGCACGATCAGGGTCCAATGTCTTTGGCGATCACAACGATGTGACTTCGGGCGCCAAACATCTCCAGATGAAAACAACTCACAAACCCTGCGCCAAAATTCCCGTCAAGAGTAGACCTGGCGTATCCCGTGGAACCAGTGTATCTGGGTATCCGCGTTACCTTGAGCAAACCCAACCTGTGATCCCCTTTTGGTGTTTCATGGTGTTTCCACGCAAGCTTGCGTCTTCTTTCGCTCGTTCGATCCACTCCCTCCGGAGGAACTCGGTGCCCCAGCATTTGGCATCTCCAACAAATGTGGCGGGACCTGGCGCTGCATTCAGCACCGTTGCACCGTGAAACCTTCGGATCGCACCGGCGTAGATCCGGACCATCGTTACCACACATAGGTTTCACTACATGTTTTTGGACGCCAAAACGATGGCGGCTCCAGCCGCAGCACATCGTATCAAGTTATTGAGCACAAAAGTGAAATCCAAAAAATAAAGGTCTGCGCATAAAGGGCAACTAGTAAGGATTCACTACGCTTTTGGGTGTTTGTTTTGGTGGTCAAAACATGTAAAAACTGCAGCTTGGCGACCCTCTTTTTTTCTCAACAAGTGAACACACCTGGAGAAGGGCGACAGTGTCACCTCCTTCAGCAGTCTCACCTTCAAGCCTTGGACTTCCCTTCTCGCTACAACCGAAAAGCATCTGTTCTGGCAACCCCAAAATGCCCAGGTTCTCTTGTTCTGGCTAGTGCAAGACCCCTCCCATCTTTCCCTAGAAGGTTGCTGTATGCGCTCTCAATCTGCTGGCTGAAGGCTTCAACCACAAAAAAGGGGCAAAACTTCTCGGAACTCAGAGATCACAGAGTCGCCCCATGCTCCATGGCCGTACGACCCGCGCGGCCAACCTCGGCCTCGCCGGTCGCCGTTGCGACCCCCCCGTGGCCTGGCCGCCCGTGGAGAAGGTTCCGGCGCCCAGGTGGGTGTAATCCCAGTCCGACGGGAGGCCCTGGAAGGCGAAGCTGGAGGGCGAAGACGAGGACCCGCGGTTTTGACGTCACTGCAGTACCCACCGCTTTTCGGGGCCGGTGGAGGCATGTTGTGTTTGATCTATTCTTTTAAAATATTAGTCACCCAGTGTGCAATTTAAGAGACTTATATAGTTTGACATGATGTTGAACTTCAATTCGCTTCTATATAGTCACCTACTACTATTCACATCTTATTCACATACGTTGACATGAATGGACCTAAAAGGTAACACAAACACGCCGTTTGAGGTCAAAACCAATTGAGTCGGTGGTGCTTCTGCTTTAACTTACATAGAGGTTGTGTTAAGGGGCCACCGGTCAAGCCCTAGGAATAACTTTACTGGTACCCCTATATTTTAACCTGGGAAAAGCCTTATTTCTACGCCTAAGCACTCCATCTGAGTCAGTGGGGTAATAGCACAGTCCACACAGGCAGGTTCTGTTTTGCTCATTTCATCCCCTTAACAGCAGGGCTGGGGTAGTGGCCCGCGAGCAATCAACACTTCAAGTTAGTGGTTGCATAATGTTGCGTATTGCATAGAGAGATAATTACAAGCAAGACGCCGAGACAACATGAGAGAACAGCAAACAACAAGCAAAAATACATTTTTCTGTTTTTTTTAACAATCCAAACATTTTTTCAGCTCACCTCAGTCCAAAAGGTTCGCACGTTGTTTTGACTCCATCTCTGCAACTCGGATCCGCTGCGCGGTGGTGATGACGGTCATGACCGTGTAGAAAAATAATCGACGAGTACACATGCTTGGTGTCCTGCTTGTGGAATGAGAAGGAGTTGACACCTGGTGAAATATTGTTGACACCTGGTGAAGTATTGGTACTGCTGTAAAAAGCGTCGCTTTTTGTGTCCGGGTGGATTTCAGAGCAGCTCCACTTACAGTAGTCTGCTCCGTGATTCCGTGGAATCTCTGGACAGGCTCGGGAACCAAATCACAGGCGTATTGGTACTGCAAAAAACGTAGGCTGAACACATCTCTGAGCTGGAAAAACATCAACTGCTTTTAGCGCAAAAGCAACCTCAAATACAACCACCTATATAATAGAAAGGACTCCCTGTACCTGAAGATAAGCCATCCCACTCCCCCACCTGAAAGGAATCAAAGCCGTGCAAGGTGGCAGACTGCACGGCTGAGCATGGGCAGATCGGCCAATGCTTGGGTTTACAGTGGTTTCAGAGGTGAGAAATGGCACTGTCTTAGACAGATGAGGGTCCACTACTAAAACATCGAACTTGCTCTGAAGTCACAGTACATCAAACGCTATAGTCTACAGCGGTCACTTACAGGGTCGTCACATTCGTCCAATCCTTCGCGGCACAAGTGGGAGTCTTCGGGAGTGGGAGGACCTAAAATATATGTGTTACATCCTCTACGGAGTGAATCTCGGACCAAGCTCGTCCATCAACAACGACTTTCTGCACATGAAATAAACACTCAATTTGGAAGAGGTATATTATATCAGTACATGATGCTATATATGATACAACATGATAAAACTGTACACAGTATCCCAAAGAACTCTGGTCCCAGTTTCAGCTCCTGCCCCACCAAGGCCCTCATCTGCATAGCGATCGCCTCATGCGATCGAAGTTCGATGGACGTCTCTCGCTGCGGGTCATGAAAGGTGACGGATTCAAAGGTCCTGTGAAGTCAACTCACAGCGGCTGTGACCCATGGCTGCGCATCCGGTTTCGAGTTCTCTAGAGGTTGGTGGATGACATCGCAGTAGTTGGGTCGCGCGCGACCAGGCACCGCGCCCGGCACGCACGGTACGCGAAGACTGGGCCGCTCGGCTGCAGTAGTCTTGCCAGATCCAACGCCAAACTCGAGCCTGAGTGGAAGTGGATGCACTTGGGATGCCAAGTTTCGCAAAGGCATCTTAGCGTGGGGGTACCTTCAATTCGTGCTGGAACTGCATCTGGCATACATGGCCCCCGATCTTCCTTCAAGCACAAAACCCAGTCTTACTTACTGGTACAAAGAAACCGCCTAGCCCATGATTAAAATGGTAAAGTTCTGCATCACCTCACACGGCTTTAAACCCTGCTGAATGCAACTTATGTAACACCCATGCAGCAAAAACATCTATAGCAACCCATCTCCCATCTCTACATCTCCACAAAAACTCAGCTGTCTGGAACTTGGGGCCGCACCACAAACCGTGAGGGTTGAGGGGTGCAGGCCGTAAGCCATATCTGAGCTGATGGAATGGGTGAGCGGGGCGGAGCGGCATCTCAGAAGACCTCAGAAGTATTGCTTGTGGCGCTTGGAGACTTGCGCCTTTAAGTAATTCTTCGCAAGAAACATCCTTGTGCTTGGAGTTGACATGAGTTCACATTCCTCAGCCACTTTGGATACCGATCAGTCGTACAAATTCAGGACCACCTGGATGTGGGCCCGGGATCAATGCAGGTGAAACTGGCTGCAACCAAAACTTGTTCAAGCAACTGACAGCAGTTGAAACTAACTTCCTGAAAGTAGTTGCCTACATTTTGCCAAGCACTTATGGTATGGCTGGTTTCTGCGAGTTTCTCCGGAACATAACATTAAGTTAATCCAAAGCTAGCCAAATATGCCATCAAGGCCCCCTTGATAACCCGCCGGATCCAGCCTCTCAGGCCTCGCAGCCGGAGAGTCCATGGCACTGTTCACTGATGCCTTACCGGTCCGCGCATCCCACATCGCAACCGTGGAGGTCCCTGGAGGACCCCCCCAGGGTTTGAAAGGTCCCAGGGTCGTGCCTTCAAGGACGCGCCTAAGCAATGAAACCACGGCGACCGAGAATGAGCAGCTTAGGTGCTGACGTGCTTCCGAGAATCCCCTCTTTGGACCCTTTCAAAACCAAAGAAACAGCGTGCTCTTATACTCACTCGACCGGAGCAGATCCAGCGACCACTGCGATGGCCAACCGCGGTTAAACACGTCCCTGAAAAGTTGCTAAGACCTGAGATAGTACTCTGGGTATATTGGATCTTCTCAAAATGGAAGTCATGGACAAGCTAATGGACCGATGACCGCTGGTGACTCATGAGCTTCATGGCTCCTGTTTGGGTTGAATTGTAGAAGCTACGTCTGCACTTCTAGTGGAAAGAAGTGACTTCACTGGGTGCCAACAAGGCTGCCGTTTGGCGACATAGAAATTATTCTGGATGAGTTAAGTTGAGGTTTCCCTACTTATCCACTCAGTCAACAACATGGACACATACCATCCAAGGATTTTTGAACATGTAGGACTGTAGGAACAGCAGCTAAACATACCAATGTAATATCAGTGGACGTATCGATTCCTATTTCAGGCATTAATCACACTTGGATAATCCGGTTGATGGGTGAGCTCGGAAGGCCCGATTCAAGAAATACCCCTGCCCTTGGATTGCTTTGCAGCCAGCAAAGCAAAAGTCAGAATATCCCCTCACCAACAACCTCCCACGGCACGCCTGCATCAGGTCTAGCCAGCAGCTGCTGGGCAGAACCTGCCAAGCCATGCAGGATGGCCCTGGAAGAAGCCTTACAAACAGTTCAGGTAATGGTCCAATGGTCCACATCGTCTAATGTTTGCGGCTGAGTCGTTTGAAGATGTTGAAAGACGTAAGCTGCTGAGGGCTTTAAGTTGCTTCCATGTGCCGCTCTGCCCCGGAACAAGTCGAGCTTCGCTCGTCTCGCCGCGTATTGCCTCAAACGCAGTCCGCAGTCCGCATAGAGGGCCTCACCTCCGCTTCCTTGCCCCACCAGTAGTTCTCCCGGTTCACAAAGAGGAGCCGCAGCTGCCTGAGATTCGATCTAGGGAGATATGAGAGTCATCAAAACCAATGCGATGCCCGAAATGCTCCGTTTGCAGCGAACCTTGCTCCGTTCGTAGTAAGGCCAGGAGCCCCGAACGTAGCGTCCGATCGCTCATAGTTGTGATGCCCGAAATGCTCCTAGTAGCTCCTTGCTCCTAATCAAAACCTGTGTCACTGTGGCCTGTGTCACGCCACAAGCCAAGCCACGCATGGCGTCCAAACAAACCTTGGATTTCCTTGATGCCGGCATGCTATCAAAGGACATGCCACAGGTTGAATAAGATTATGGCCGGCCCTGTCAGCCTTGGCCGAACCCAGCGGAATGACACCTGCTGGCCTTGAAGGCCCCCCGCTTTTTCTGATGAGAACATCATGGATACTCACAATGCAACTGGGCCATAAAACATGTTCATATTCGTTCATGATTCCTGAAACGTTGACCCCTCTCAGTTAGGCAACCTTCCCCCAAAATCCCATGTTTGGTCTCTGCCGGTGGTCTCTGCCGGTCCGGTGGCGGCAGTCCTCTTCCAAGCCAACTGGGTTGGGGAGTTGGGAGTTGCTTCAGTTCAGCGAATCAACTCTTGGGTTCCCGGACAGAAAGGCCGCGTGCGAGGCCATCTGAGAGCGCGAGAAAGTCAAACGGGCCAAGGTTGTCTTAGCCAATCCGCGCTGTTTACTATAAGGTGCCAGGACAATGCGTGCATATATATGAAAGATCGCGTGCATCCACTTGGATTGACTTGGGGCACTGTTGTTTGAAACATTAGAGAGCTTGGTTCATCCACATCCGCATCCACATGAGTCAGAGTTTAAAGCCTATCAAACAATGACAAGGTGATTTGAGAGGATGTCTCACCACATTCCTGGGCACCCTCGAGTTAGTTCACCAATGCTTGAATCGTGAGCAATCATCTTCGCGAGCAAATGCTTGAATCCCCAGCCCTCCGTAAGTTGGATGTTCACAAATGAAATGAGCAAACATCTGAAACAACACAAATGGCCTGACCTGGTTGTGTAGCTGCGATTATATTTCCAAAACTAGGATGTATACAACACATCCTCGGTTTACGCACGCACAAAAAAATAAGGCTCTCCGAGCTAACTGGTGCGACTGGCTGATCCCAGGTGTCCTTGACCATGACTGGCTGAGGTCTGGGGAATCCCAATTGGTAAGGCGAATCCCATTTGCTAAGAACAATCTTGGCTTCATACAATTTCATATAAAGCACTTCTTTCCATCTTCTTTCCTCAACAGTCAAATCCCAAACACTCCATGTATGGAAGATATATATATATATATACACAGTAATCCATTGGGGTGGTTGAAAAGGGGTCAATGGGGCGGCAGATATACCCGTCCCGTGAGTCGTGTCTGGGACTTTACGGAAGAGCGCGGTGCCATGCTGTGGCCCTCACGCCCGACAGTGATGGCACCGCATGCTCGGCCACAGGGGGCGCCCACCTCGCAAGTCAGATCCACAGCGCCGGAGTCCCACTTTCCACCCGAAGTACCACTAAATCGGGAACCAGGGACAGCAGAATTACTGCTTAGCTATACCAAAGGGGCAGCTGGACCCACCTTCTTGTCCTACACCCAGTCTGGAGGACCTTGAGTCAAGTTCAAGTCCAGTCACAGGAAATTAACGGTGCACACTCCTCTGTTCTTTCGGCTGTCTACTTTGAACATCTTTGAACCCTTGACCAGAACCATGAACCAAGTGGGCTGAACTATGCCTGGAAACCAAAGCTGAAAGTAGAAACTTGGTTCAATCATATCGTCTAATGTTGGATCTCAATCGTCCTATCACTGCATTATCAACAAGAAGTGACCACCGTATCGCCACATGAGCACAGAACGACACACATTTCATGGTCGACCCACCAAGGGCCCGACCAGGAGACGGCGGGGTGTATCCGCTGTGCCTGCAGGTTGTGCGCACCAAGAAGCGAGGGCCAACTTGAACGAAAAGGGATGTCGAAGAAAACATTTCTCCGACACGTCCGACAGAATCCAGAAGCCAAATATATACCTTTTATATAAAGTCTTGTGGGTGTGCACTTTGGATTCACTTGTGTTCAAAGAGAGCAAGAAAGCAAATCATAGGCAAGGAGAACAAAGAAACATCGAACAAAAGAAGCAACAACTGCTTACTACAACCACAGGCAGAAAGAAACAAAAAGCAAACGGCATCAACAAGCAACAAAGTGAAGGGACAATCAGGGAAGAAACCCACCCTGTGTTAAATGGCATTTCTGCCGGGGAGATCCAGTTAATCATGGACTAGAATCAATTGGTTCCAACCACACAAGTCCAGCTGAGGTGCAAGAAATACCAGGTGGTTTGTGTAGAACTGAGGATGGCTCTTATCATAAAGAACGTTTTTACTACCTCCCAATCCCGCAACAACTGACTTGAACAACACATGGTTATTTCATGTTACTTGCACCCTGTGTATCATTTCTTGGTCCCTTTTGCACACAACCTTCACGGTTGCCGGGTCGACATCCGCCTCGGCTGAGAGGTAGTCCCTACAGGCCGGCAAGGGTGGGCCCAAGTAGACCTGGCACAGCCTTCTCACTCAAAAGGACTGTTCTGCTCGGACGCAGTGCCGCGCTTGGTCCAACACAGTGAACACAGTGCCCCGCTTGGTCCAACACACTGCGTCGTGACCGCGTCTTTGCTTGAGCTGCTTGAGCTGATGGAATAAATACCTTTTTACTCTAGACATAGCATTGGATCTGCCCAGCCTGCGGATGCTACAATCTGCATCTTCGCCATTCACTTGCTCAGAAAATATGTTTGGAATCATCAAACACCTATATTTCATGGCTCTAATGTCGTTCATGTCAACATTTTCCAAAAGCTCATCAATCATTTAGCAGGGAGCTCTTTCCAAACAAAGGACAAACACTTCACATCATACGGAGTGCACTTGAATTGACCCCTTCGCCCGTCGGTCGTCTCTGGAAACAAGCCGCGGCGATCCTCCACACGGTAGCCCGCAGCGAAGCGGGCTGCAACCTGAGTTTTCTCACGACCGATGTGAAAGGAAGACTGCCCCAAAAAGACATCCGGTCACGCCCGCGCGCCCCAGCGATCTAAGCACAGCTGCTTAACCAGTACCGTAAGAACCCCTAAGTGTCCACACTGTTTGGGGAAAAAGACATCCATGAGATGGAAGGTTGCAGCATGTTGGAGGTGTAAGCAACCCGTGATGAGGGACCAGAAATAATAACCTGTGCATGGTGCTTTGTATATCTTTTTATGCCTCATACTTGTACTTTGTCGACTGCCCAAAGCAAAGTATGTAACTACGTAGGTATTGAATGTCCGACCAAAAAAGACTCAACGAAGAATAAAACAACTTATCTCTCAGAGAGACATCAATTAAGCTTAGTAAATCAATGCCTTTTCAGGACGTGTCCGTTCTTTTTCGACCGATCCGCCGTGGCGCTGTCATGGCGTGTCCAGAACACCAGTTCTGAAGGCCGAAATGGCGTGGTGCATTTTTTGAGTCAGACAAATGGGAGAAGAAACAGGAGTTGTGTTCAACTCACCAATGGCATCCAGTGATTCACACCTGATCTCAAATGCCAAATAGGACCCTCCAGTCGTAGCTCCAGGACTTTTAGTCTTTGGAATCACCGGCTCACAAGCAATGGTTGGAGCACCTGCCTTGAGTAGGATGGAAATCTCACAAACACCAAGCAGTTTTAGGAACCCGGCAAAGAAAAAGGAAGCACCAACAAATGGGTTTTAGCGCTTCAAAGGTCTAGCAATACTAAAGATAAAACATAAGCACAATAAAAGGAGACCCCATTATCCAAGAGAGAGTCCACTGCACTTCGACCTCCTCACTTCGACCGTCCTACGGCACTTGCCACACCGAGCGTCGGCGATGCGCCACTGTCGACCCCCGCCAGGCGCGCCTTCCGATCGAAGGCCTCGGGCGGACGTCCCATGCTCAACAGGCGTACCAAGCTCCCGTGGGTATATATATCATCCAAGCTCCCTGTAACAGTGAAGGATGATGTGGTTTTGGTTTGCAGGATGTTTTGCAGGCCATTTCTCTAAGCAAATAAGTGATAAGTCATATAGAAAATAAATGGTCCGACTGGTCCAGGCAATGGGAGTGTCCCCAAGCAAAAAAACACAAATATATATATATATATATGCATACACGTGGGGCATATATGACCAGATGAACCTATGGCAGCCATATGAAAGCACCAGTAAACACCATGGAACTCACGACGCAGCTTCCATGGCAGAACCGAACTTGTGGACTATGTGGGGAGACTGGCACTGGTCGGAGACCGATAAAGGGCGCAGTCGTGCGACCGTGCCTCACGGACTGGTCAGGGTGAACACAAACGTTGAACTGCCCATGTCCATATCTAGGGTGTGATCAAACACCATCATCATAGGTTGTAGATCTGCCTGTGTAAGGATCTTCCAGGTGTATTTAGCCCTCTTTGAGGTCTTCGGCGTCTCCACGAAATCCACCACTACAAGTACTCCACAAACTAGAAACTATTGTAGAGTTACAAGTATATGATAATTTCTGTGATTCTACCTGCCTTGAGCATGTGCTGGTATGATGAGGAGATCAAAAGAGTTGCTGACCCGAATCTGATTTGTTTATCACATAAATTTCCTGGACTTTGGATCTAGTGATATCTAGTGTAACACGTGCCGCTGTGATGGGCATGATAAGACGTGGCTGTATCTATATAAATACAGGGGGTTGTACAATGGTCACTCAGAAAGCAAATTAACATGTCCGGATTCTTCTTTGGAGCTTTTCCCACACTCCAGCAATTCACCGCTGATTGGGTTGAACTTGCAGTAGTCTGGACTATCCAAGGTCACTGGATCTGAGCATTGATCAAACCCTGCACAGCCCGTACAAAGCCTGGACATTCCTGCTGAAGCCTCAAACATCCAAGAACTACTGGCATGGTCAATCAACCAAATGAGGGCCATGGATATTACTGAAACTTCAGAGCAATTTAGCCGGAATACGCTTTTGGTCACACCACCTGCGACTCCTGACTCCTGCAAAGACTTGCGGAAACTCTTGATGAAATCAGCTCGCGAGCCTGGTTTGTATGGAGTGGTCTCACTCTCGGATGATCAGTGGTCTCACTCTCAACCGTTGGAAGTAGGGAACGGCCACCGCAACCGTGGATTTCTGCATTAAATAAAAAAAGTCTGTGCATATATATATGGTATATATATATATCTATCAAAGCATCCTATCATCCTCAGCCCGGCCATTGACAAACATATAATCATTTGTTTATGGATTCCTGAGGCCTGCTAGAATTTTGAACTGGCTTTGTGTTTCAATCATGTCCTTTCTGTATCTAGTTGGCTGGCGGCTGATAGAACGCCGCCAGCTGTTCTTCACTTCTTTCTTTTTTGATGCTTCGTCGCCAGCTTTTCTTCACTTTTTTGCTTTTTTGGCACTTACGTCATTGAGTCATGAAGTTGATGCTACGTTAGGGATGGGAGTGGGGTTGGGTGGGGCATGTTAACGTTCGCTGGCACTTACGTCATGAAGTTGATGCTACGTTGGGGATGGGGGTGGGGTTGGCTGGGGCATGTTAACGTTCGCTGGCACTTACGTCATGAAGTTGATGCTACGTTAGGGATGGGGGTGGGGGTGGGTGGGGCATGTCAACGTTCGCTGGCACTTACGTCATGAAGTTGATGCTACGTTGGGGATGGGGGTGGGGTTGGCTGGGGCATGTCAACGTTCGCTGGCACTTACGTCATGAAGTTGATGCTACGTTGGGGATGGCGGTGGGGCATGTTAACGTTCGCTGGCACTTACGTCATGAAGTTCATGCTATGTTGGGGATGGGGGTGGGGTTGGGTGGGGCATGTTAACGTTCGCTGGCACTTACGTCATGAAGTTGATGCTATATGTTGGGGATGGGGGTGGGGTTGGGTGGGGCATGCTAACGTTCGCTGGCACTTACGTCATGAAGTTGATGCTACGTTGGGGTGCTAGGCGGCGTAAGTTGTTGGCCCGTGAGGTCATCCATCAAGACAAGTCTACGCCAAGACTTTAAGGTCTGTTCCCACATTTGAGCAGTGTTGCAGGAACACAGTGTATTGACCGACACTGGCGGTCGGTCAAAGAGTTCATTGGTGCCATGTTTCCAAGAAAGATCAAAGGTCTGCTTGGATCAACAGTTCACCCAGAAATTCCCGACATTGTGCACCAGTGGCTGTACAGATCTTGGCATTGCTCTGAAACTCCTGCTTGTGTATACGAAGACTTGAGGCACTTGTGGCAGCAAAGGTGATAAGATGAAGTAGTTTGTCCGGACTTTTTGGGTCATGCATTTTCGCACGAAAACACTAATTCATTGTAAAAACCAATACGGACACAACCTGTCATGATGCTAAAACGCAGCGGCGTTCTATCAGCCGCCTACCATCTAGTTTGCACCGACGTTCCCCCCAAATTCTAGGAACCAAATGAATCGTGCGAGGGCTTCTTCAAAGAAGATCACCCCAGACGTCCCTAAAAAAGCCTCTGTCTTTCCTGCGTCCCGGCTAGCTAGTAGCTACTCTTAGTCCTTCCTTACTTAGCCTGGTGCGGCCCATTTTCCCCCTACAGTTCAGCTTAGACCCCCCAAAGCTTGGATTCCTGGCAAGTCCATACTCGGGCGCAGAACTCCGCGCGCCAGGCCTCGAGCGAGCCACGAGTTGGTTCACAGCGGGGCGGCGTGATCCCCAGGGTTTGCGGTTCTAGGTCGTCTCTTTTCTGTGTTTTCTCCTGTTCAATCTGGGAAATATATGGCAAACATACAGCAAATGCGGATCGACAAGGGAGGGAGGGAGAGAGGGAAAGTCTACACTCAGCTCTTGACGCCATGATGATTCTAAGCTCTAAAAATACCTGAGGTCCGAATGACTCAGACTCAGCTAAGCAAAGCAAGATAATTTAGAAATATGGTGGTTGATCTAAATCTTCTTTACGGAAACGTCATTAGTCGCAGAACAAATCTTCACTTTCGCAAAAGATTCGCGAATTCCATGTATATCCCAATAATATTACTATAATTATTAGTTTGTTTTTTCCTTATACGAATCTTTGACGAAACATAACATATATGTACTTTTGCAAACTCGACACACAAATGCACACAAGATAAGAGGCTCTCAATGAACCTATAATAGGCCTTATGTCGACCTTTTAATCAACTACCACATGACATGAACTATGCGGTAACTCAAGATTTCACAGGTTCCCTTTGAAAAACACATGACCTGAACCCCTTCTTGCACTGCAGATGCCAGCAGACACAACACCGCAGCACACCAGAAAACACAGCAACACCACCGCTCCCCAAAGAGAGAACCACTCGCGTGAAGCCCGGCCTCTCCAAAGCAAGAGTCTCCCAGCCTTCACGCAGTGAAGGCATTGAGAAGGATCGAGTCAGGATTGAGAATTACACCCAAACACTCCAGACTGGCATATTTACCGATCAGGCCAGGGGTGGTTGACCAGGGGTCCATTAGTCTAGGTCAACGACCAACGACTGCTGTCTGGGGCATGTGGTCCAACGACTCAGGTTGCTCGACACAGTCTGCCATCACACGACCCTGGTGGTTCTCCTGCGGCACATCCGAACTCAATCACTCCCTTGTGCCAACAACACATGTCAGGGGAGACTCGTCAGGCTGCACCACACCTCCTTAGTCAGCTATTGCGTTGTTTGGCTGGTCTAGAAAAAACTGGATCGACCAACATGTATGCATATCATACACAGCAATCCGTTCTTGTATGTTTGTGTGTTTGTTTGTGTGTTTAAGCACAATCCACGTTTAATTACATGAAGTTAATTAGAGCAACATGATGCAAAGTCCAAAGATCCGGAGATCTGCAAAGACCCACTGGAAGACAAAGAGATCACGTGCACACTAGCCACGATTCAATCCCAGGTGAACTTTGACAATTCCAGTGACCAACAAATCTCTATGATTTGTGTATATACTTGCAACTACAAGTTGGTCTCCCTCCAATGGCATGTTCAACCTATTTTCATCTGGAAGAAGAAGTGTTCTCACTCTCGACCTTTCGGCCAGCCGCTGGCCGCTGGGTGAGATTTGCTGATTCCTTGACCAGGGAGGGAGAGATCTTCCACTGCACCTTTTTGAGACCTCATGGAGACTCAAACATGCAAACAATAATCTGGAGACTGGATTGTACGGAGAATCAAACAACCTCATAGTCAACATGAGAACTATTGCCTCATGTTACTCATGTTTCACTAGAACCCAAATACCAACAGGACTGCCACAACAAAAATAACATCCCTAACGCCTAACGCTCCCTGGAAGGAATGATTGGAAGATGCCGGAAAGCATCTTCCAAGTCATCAAATCGCACAGTTCACAGACGAAGCACTCGATGACGAAGCAGGCTTAGATGATGTGAGCAATTTGCACATTCATGCGATCTTACCAGGGATGTGAACATGGTCAACAGCCGGAACGGATCCAAAGTCACCCGAAGACTCCAACACCTGACTCAAGTGACCAGTGAATGTGAGCTCAAAATACCGCTTACTACCTCATTCCTTGGATCCAGCCTGAGGACGGGGGTCCAAAAAATAGCAAACCATACAATATGCATGAAGATGAGCCTCTTTGTGCACTTTGAAACCTTTTCTTTGTTTCCTGTCCGGGTCACCCAGCCGTGCTCCGTATACTGATGTGTAAACATCGTCCACAAGCGCAGCGGGTTGTGCTTGGGCGGCCTCAGCGGACTCAGGAACCAAACCGGGGCACATAACTGGTGTTTCCGTCCCCCAAAACCAAAAAAACATATTTAAAACAACAACTACTACTACACTACTACTACCACCACCACCACCACCACAAGCACAAACACCAACCACCAACACCGTTGACTTCATTACACTGATCAAACTCCAGCGACCGACACTCCAGTCAACATGGCATCCGTACGGTCGACGTTTCCTATTCGGGCACCCAAACCGTACTGGGACCCAAAACATTATGCAACTGACAAACACATACATTACATTACATTACATTGCATTATATTACATCCTTCCTACCTACCTACCTACCTACCTACCTATATACCTTACCTAACTACATACCTACATGCATACATACAAGACCAAAAATACCTTACATTACCTAATCTAACCAAACCTAACCTAACCTACATACATACAGACAGACAGACTGACAGACATACTGTACATACATACATACATACATACATACATACATACA